GAAGACTAATGAGTACGTATCATAGACAGTCTTGGTCCATGGTGAAGCAGCCAACAGCAGCAACACTGACAGGAGGGAGAGAGAATTAGGGTTAGAGCTGAAAGAATCAATCACATGCAAATGATGTAAATACAATTTTTTTAAAGAAATGTAACAGATTTTATCTTGTCCTGCTGAGTACCAACGAATGCAAAACATCTTAAATGTGACTTCATTTTTTTTATTTTTGGAAAACAACGTAGATTTTTGTGAATTTAGTGTGACAAAATAATCACTGGCCAGTGCTCACTTCCTTTCTCCATTGTCTTGCTAAGTATTACTTCTCTCTTCTTCTCTCCTCTGGTGTTCCCTGTCTTCTGGGTTTCGACTCCTCCACCTGTATCTTCATGGTTTCACTCGGATTTCCACTCCTTCTCCTCCCTCTCTGCCTCTGCTCCTTTTTGTCGGGGGTGTTTGCTTGTTTTCCACGGCTCCTGGTTTCCGCCTCTGCTGTGTTTCTCTGCTGTCGAAGGTCGTGGGACCATCACCACTGTCTCAGAGATCACTGCCATAAGGGTCTGCATGCACACTGTTCCTACATGTACAACTGAGAGCAGCTAAGCGCCAGAGGAGCTCTTCGAGAGTCAGACTTTTACTCTATATCAGGTCAAGACGATGTCTAATTATATGACAGAATCTACCAACATGATGTGTGTGTGTGTGTGTGACGGATCAGATCTCTCAACAGTTCGGAGTCATATGAAGCAGGGATGCTGGAACTGTTGTGTGTGTGGGTGAATTATTTTGGAGCCAATGAAAACACTGGACATAGTAACGAAACAGTATGGATATTCAATAGCTTTGAGATTCAGATGCTAGAATATTTTAAAAAAACCATACCACATCAAAAGTAAACTGTAGCAATAAAAAAATAATAATAAAATGTAGCAAAACACAATACTAGACAAAGAAACTAAGATGTTATTTTGTTAGGTCATTTGATTTGAAGTCATAACATATGTCTTAAATCATTCTGACTGACCCTGGTACATCCCTAATGTCAATAAAAACCTACAGTCTTCAGTTCAGGTCTCACAAATCCTCTCAACAACAATTATTTCAAATTAAAGCTTTTTTTAAAAGTAGAGTTTACAATGCTGCTACGGGTCTCTGTCTCCACTGACTCATTCAGGAAAAAGGATATAAAACACACACACACACACACTTCATAGACTTCACAAACAGGAAAGCCCAGTCGCTCCATGAACCATGCACAAACTGTATGTATATAAAGTGATGGATGTTGTATTTAAAGTACAGTGCTCATGTGGGTACAAGTTTCTTTGAAAACTGGTACTTCCTTCACGTTTTTGTACAAATCACAGACACTGTAAACTGTTGACAGTTGATTGGTGTTTTTTTGTGCAAGGCATACGGAGATTTTTGTACAGGATTTGTTGATACTTTGGTCTGACATTAAAATTGATTTTGAAAAACATGTCAATGAGTTGCTTCTGTGTACCACATACAGCATGTACAGGTCAGGTCAGTGCAGTCACACCATCAGTATCACCAGAACACACATGGTCGGAGCCTAACGTAGACTAGAACTAAAGGAAGGAAAGTGAACTGCTTGTCATTGTGACTCACTACTGCACACACAACCAAATGTGACCTCTGTTTTTAACCCATCACCAAAGTGAAGAGTGGGCAGCTTTACGCACCCAGGGAGCAGTGTGTGGGGTCAATGCCATACTCAGAGTACCTCATTGTTAACTTGGCAGCTGGTGGACTTGAACCTAAAACCTTCTGGACCCAAGTCCACTTCCTCAACCACTAAGCCACCACTGCCAGACTCTAGACCACCGCTCCTACTTTGTAGATCGGGATTTACTAGTGCTGGTAGGGGAAACACTACAATGAAAAAAAACGGCAGCAGTAATCAGTGAAGTATTTGGTTTATACGATTTTACCAGGGATTTGAACCCAGGATCCATACACCACAAACAGATGGTTAATCCCTGGGGCTGTTCTGCCATGGACAATGGGCTGTAAGGAACTTTTACTGGTGGATAAAACTAGTCCATGGTCTTTAGAAGACAAATGCCATTGTTACAAAGTAGGAACAATCATCTTAAGAGACAAGGGATGTGAACCCTGGTCTGCACCATCACCAGAGGTGTTACCACCTGAGCTCTTCTACCATGTAGATTTACATATGGTAGATTGGCAATTTACACCTGCTTCAAAAATATGTAATAAAAATACTGGAGAGCATGTATTTCAGTCTTCAGCAGGCTGTGATGCGTGCACTTGTATAAAAAAAAATCTTTAACTTTATGCCTGTGTTTCTGGCTGTGACGTTGTCTCAGTTTTAAGGAGTTTAATGTTTGTGAGTTTAAATTGTGAAACACTGTACTATCCCCTGAGAATCAGATAGAGGAAGTTGAACGAGAAGTTCTGCGGCATTAGGAGACACAATCATGAGGCTCGTGCCAAGCCATCATTTGACTTTTGACTTTTGATATTCATTTCTGACATATGTCTACTTCCTCCTGTATGGCACACCATAGCAAACACATTTGAATGCTAGTACTGCTTTCTTGATTTTTAATATAGAAGTCACTTGTATTTGTAAAACAAATTTAGCCTCAATGAACTGGATGTACGGATTACAGTAAATCACACATTGAGCAAGAGTTTTTGCAACAGTGTGGAGGAAAAACTGCCTTTTTCTACATGAAAAACTCTGCAGCAGATTCAGACTCTGTGTCCTGTGCCTCAGAAAACTGACCGTTTTTCTGCTGACTACAAACACATGCAACACTGAGTCAGAGTTCTATCTAATCTGTGCTACTTGCTCCATGACCTACTGCCAAGCCAGTCATTCATTGACATCTTGTAAAAACCTTCATTTACCTCACTTACCAGGAATCTATACTTACATCTCAACATTCCTGTAAAAACGTATCTATTATATACAGAAAAGTTATTAAGACTACATTTTTTTAAATTAAATTATTTATCAATAGGTTTTCATTAAATTATATTTTTTATGTTGAAGAAATAAAATTAAACATGTTCTAAGAAGAAAAAAATACTTGGACTTAATTAACTAATTAACAAAAACTTTCAAACTGTGTGCATTTGCATACATTTTTTTCCAGCACTGCAGTGAAGTCAGACCAAGGTATTTAGTTAATAATTAATTTTACCGATGGTGACTTTTCTACCATTGCACCAAAGGCTGTAAATACTTTATCCTAGGCGTAATTGCTCTGAACAGTTCCAGGATATAACTGAACTTCTTTTAGATATTATATTATGGCAATAGATTTACTGACTCTACTGACTCTAAGAAAAGGAAGTAATCTACGGTATTTGTCGACCAAAAACAATGAAAATGTGTGAAGTGAGGACGGGAAGCCCAAATGCACTATTAAAAATACACAGGATCGAAATTGTACTGTAGTATACAAGATGGGGAAGAAAGAAGAGGAAGATACTAATGTCATCCATGATGCAGATGATGGTGGCGTATATATTAAGACCCACCGTTTAATTCTTAGGGGTTAAAAAAACAGACTTTGACTGAAACATAAACAGATATGTGGTTGTTTTATCTGTGGGTATGAAAAACCGGATACGGTTAAATAGGAGATGTTTGTCGAAGATTAGACCTCAATCTCTCACTAACAGACGTGTACTTCGAGTTACTACAAAGTACAGTGAAGCAGACAGGACTGAGAAATGTAGGATGTGAATCAGTTTAAATAAATATTTTATACCTAAGAAATAGAACATGATATATAATAGTATAATATAATAGTTAACTTGTCTTTACTGATGTTTTGAATTAAAATGAGTGTTTGGAATTGGTCTGAAGGATTAAGAGGGATCTTAAATCGAGATTTGTAACAAAATGGACCATCGTATTAGCTGCTCGAAAACAGCTAGAGACGTCCCTGCATTTACCCGCATCAGAATGCAGCTGTCGAAATTATAGAAAGAGGAACTAATTGTGATTCTTGTCCCTCCTACGTAATATTTGATCAGTGAAGTGGTTCAATAGAGTAGAAAGTTCAAAAGAATTTTAGCGTTAAAAGTGACGGACCGAGTACCGAGTACCGAGTGAGGTCCCTCCTCCGGCAGAGAAATCGAAAGTTAACAGAAAAAACTCCTCTATTTGCTGGAAGGTGCAGTTTTTACTGCAAGTTTCGTAACTTACGTTTCTGCGGAATTTTAACTTCAATCAACATGGCATCTCCTCAGATTCCGTTTTATAACCCGGTGAGTGAAACGGTACAGAAACATGTACGATGTATATTAATGTAGTAAGAATGTTTTTTGTAGACTGTGAAGACCGTTGTATTTCGTAGATGGCAGGTCCTGTCAAGCTCCAAGCTGTTTCGCCCTAACAACGGGACATTGAAAGACAAATATAATCGAAAACAATAGGACCGTCGTCTTCATTAGTTATTCGACCTATATTTGATTATAAATTCGTGTTATAAATTCGGAAAGTGAAGAAGAGATAAATTAGAAATTTACACATTGATACTGCAGTAATATAATCACGAAATAACTAAATAAATGAAACGAAAAAGATTTAAATGGATAAATCAACAAAATTTATAAAAACACGGAAGTTTTTAATGAACTTGTTTGACTCACAGTAGGGGTTTCTGGTCGTGGGCGTTCAGGGGCGGGGTAGTCGAGGCGAGCTCAGTTAAAGATATCTTTAACGTCATTTTTTTCACCGCACACTGCAGATTCGTTACTTAATTATTTATTTAACAAGAATCGCAGTTTTTTAAAATAAATAAGTAGGTTTAAAATAAAATCGTTCGGTGGAAGATGGAAAAAAATGTTGGACATTAACGGCCCTAAGGGTGCGGTGGGGGGTGGGGGGTACTTCACTTAACACTGTAACAGAAAGACTTTGCATAAAAGCATTAGGAACCACTAGAGCTCGGCTACTTGACATTACCAAAACTTATGTCCTGACATAAGTTATTAAAAGTCGTTTCAAATGTGTTAACTTAACCAACAATTCCACTGTCCAACCACTAGTTGTTGCTCCAATACAAACAAACAATCTTTACACACACACCGTCACACAACTGTTGTGGTCAATGTTATACTGTTTCACTAAATAAAATGCTGATCAGTGGGTGAAGCCCTGGGTGTTCATGTGTCATTTTGTGTTTGTAGAAAATCCCCTTCACTGGATCTATACACGGTGGTCTACAGAATGGGACTGCGATCAACATCAGTGGTCGAGTCCCTTCTTTCGCTGACAGGTGAGGCTGCCTCGCCTTTAATTGCAACGCTTTCCTACAGAAAGGCAATCAAACAGTTCTCATTCTGCTAAAAAATATTGCACTACTGTCCTTAAAATGTCCTTGACATGTATGTTGACCTTAAAATCCTAAGTAATAAGAAATAAATAGCTCATGACATTCAGGCCTAATTCTGAAACTATACAAACCTCTGCGTCTTCACTTACTTCACTGTATTACCCTTCACTGCAAAGGTAATGTGAAAAAAATTATGGATGGAGACGGAGAGATGAGGAGCTCTCACGAACTGTCATTTCAACATTTACTTTTTATGTTAGAATAACCTTTAGGAGCCACTTTTTAATACGAAACTATGTATTTATGTTGTTCAAATTATTTGGTTTCTAATCTTTTTCATTATATATATTTTTACCAGGTTCCATGTGAATTTACAGTGTGGCTCCGGGACCAATGCCGACGTTGCTTTTCATTTTAACCCGCGGTACAGCTTTTTCTCATGTGTGGTCACCAACACCTTCCAGCATGGCAACTGGGGCGTCGAAGAGAGGAAGGACAACTCTGTGTTACAGTCTGACATGACCTTCACCCTCCTCATCACAGTCACCCAGAGTTGTTACCAGGTCTGTTGAGCCACAGTTGTTGGAAGTTTAAAATAATTTATTCAAATTATTTTCACTATCATCATTACGTCATTATTTTGTTAAATCACTGCATCTATCCTATATATGTTGACCGGGCTCTAATGTGTAGTAAAAATTTGCCAACTTTGAATAAAACCATGGACTTCAATTTTTTCAATTCGTCAGCTCTGTTTGACAAACTGATGTAAAAGAATCATCTTGATGTGTTTGGTCATTCCAGGTGATTATTAACGGCTGCCACTTTATGGACTACAGGCATCGTATTCCATTTAATAGAGTGGACACCATCGCTGTAGTAGGAGATGTCGAAATCACCTCTATTTCCTTTCAAAACCCAATGGTGAGGTAGCTGCTGGAATGATTTTTTTTTTGGTTTCAAAATCAAAGAATTGCTATAAGAGTGCTTTTCTTCTTGAACAGTTTCCAGGACATGGGTTTCCTGCTCAGCCTGGATTCCCTGCACAGCCTGGATTCCCTGCACAGCCTGGATTCCCTGCTCAGCCTGGATATTCTTTTCCTAATTTTACTCAACCTACTTTCCCCTCTTGCCCAGTGTTCCCCCATCAGCCTGTCATTCCGGCTCAGCCAGGCTTTCCTTCTTCAATGTTTGTAAGTATCAAGTACAGTCTGTGCATATGAATCTGGCACAAATAATTGATCATATAAATCAATAGGAGGGACACAGGATCCCATTGGACGGGTGTTTGGATTGTTTATAACTAACATTCCATGTTTTATTCCCATTTTGTGAAGGCCGTTCCGTACAAAACTTCCATCAATGGTGGACTCAAACCTGGCAAGACTATCACGATCCATGGAAATGTGCACCCCAATGCTAACAGGTGCGACTCCATGACCAGCTGCTGCTGAAACTGATTAGCAGTTTCTACTACTACAGTTAGTAGTAAGAAAATAGATTTCGGTTTCTCGTTTCTCTTTAGAATACCAAAGAAACAACACAGATAAAATGAAGTCAAGTAACCAGCTAGGGTCAAGAGTATGAACCAGAGTTCTGAACCTGTGTTGCCTTGACTGTCAGTCCTGGAGGATATCATTGCAAATTTCTGGACATCTGTCCCATTTTTTCTGAACCTGTCATCATTCATTGCAAATTTCTGGACATCTGTCCCTCAGTTACAGCAGAGGTGTGACTCAGCGTGTTCTCTGAGGCAGATTTCTCTTTCTATGGGGAACTGAAAAAGCATAGTGAGATAAATAAAGTTCAGTTTATTCCATGGCAGGGACTTTTTCTGAAATAAGGAGGAAAAACTTCTTCTTCTTCTTCTGAATATTGAGATCAAATGCAGTCCATTCCTTATTTAAATTCACCCTTATCTTGACGCATGGATTTACTGAATAGCATTACTAGAATAAACCAAAAAGCTGCACCGGTTAAAATAGAAAGCCTAAATTTAACAAACCTCAGTATTTCATCGGTCACACGATTAGTGCCATCTTGCTATTCTTTCAGGTTCTTATTGAATCTCAGCTATAGTTCTGGGGTTGCTCTGCATTACAACCCTCGGTTTGATGAGAACACTGTGGTGAGGAACACCAAGCAGGGATCGAACTGGGGCAGTGAGGAGCGTACTGGAGGGATGCCCTTCCACCGGGGGCAGCCTTTCATGGTGAGTCTGCACACTCACACCACAGGGCTGCGCATGTACCAACAGCTCATTGGTTCAACAACTGCTTGATCACCAATGATAATGGACCACGTCCGGTCACAGGAGATCAGTGGTTTTTGTTAATGTATGTATTCTGGAGTAGATTAGAATTAGGACGAAATTACAAATTAAGTCTGACACCTGTATTTTACATCGTAGTGCAACTATATATTGTCAAATATGACATTAAAATTGTCTTTTGTGTTTACAGTTGACTATCCACTGTGACAATCACAACTTCAAGATTCTGGTGAACGGGGTGCAGACTCACACCTACCGTTACCGGGTCACCCCTCTCAGAAACATTCAGACCCTGGAGATTGAAGGTGACATCTCACTGTCGTCTGTGATGGTGTAGACAAACATCATCACCCACACAGTCGCAGTAGACTGCATTAATTAAACATTCCATGCTTAACAATCAATCTAAATCAGTGATTCCACTTCAATTATGTGATTTTTTTTTTCTGTAGCAGATGCTTATAAAAACTAAAAGACTGAATAGTTTTTTGAAGAAGATATTTGAGCGTGTCTTTTCTGAAAGTAAAATGCAATATATTTCATTACGTATATATGCTGTGTGACATCTTTGTCATGTTTTGCAGTTTGGGAGTTTTCTATTGTAAAACATGTCTTGGCTTTAAAAAGTTTGTGAAATTTTTTCATTTTTTTCTGGTAAAAGATTGTACAGTGCAGCTGTACTTTTCTGTAAACAGAGTTTTTCAATTTATGCTTTGTTCAAATAAAGTTTGTGAAGCTCGCAATTAATTTGTGTCACTCCAGTGGGTCACTCGACCAAATGGGAGGAGGAGGTCTGATTGTCAGCCACAGCTGGAGTTCTTGTTAGAGACACCGAACAGTAGTTAAAAATAAACTGATTAGAGTGAGTCATTAAATTGTTAAACGTAAAAATACAAGTACAAGTGCAATGCAACATGAAGAGGAAATGGGTGTGAAAAGGTGAAGGGCAGTCGTCCATTTAATAATTTCAAATCTAAAAGGTAAAACATTTTATGACACAAGGATTATAAGCATTTTAAACAAAGGCCTGTGAAAATAAAGGTTTATATGAAATTATTAGTTTTAATTTAAATTAAGACAGAAAAGTTGAACTATTCACATATCAAGAATATATATACAAAAAATGAATAAATATATAATAGAATTATATTAAAGTAAGCCCCTCCTATTTGCAATGCAAATATTTTAAATAAAATATTTGTCTTTTACCAAAGCATTAACTCAGAACCCCTGATTTAAACTGCATTCACAGCACCCTCTGCTGGAAGGGGGAATACAGCTAAATGCTCTGTTTAAAGACCCACATTAAAATTCTGGTAAATTGTACCTTCAACATAAAGTACAGGGTCCATATTCATTCAGATGGCATTTGTTGAACCCACACAGATGCTGGATGCTTGCAGGAATGTAGCTTTGTGAGACTCATCTTCATCTGTCACCAGCAACTCTGGACTTTCAACGTCCACATAGTCCTGTAGAAAAAGATATTGACGTTTTATTTTTAGTCAATTCAACAAAAAATGTGTGCTCTAAAAAAACTTAAATTCAAACAGAAACATTACAACATGCTATTAATCTATAAGTTTAGTTTGGATTTAAGATTAATTTCAGGTGTTCAAATCAGAGTGGAAATTATTACAAATGACCCCCTTTTTAGTGTTAATAAGAATAAATAAAAAATAAACATTTGTGAGCTGCCTTCATTCCAAGGACCTCACTCTCAGTTGTCTCCTAAACCTACAGTGAGTCTTCATTAAAGGTTGTCAGTCCATTTTATGACGCATACAGTAAGTGAAACTTCACAGGAACCCGACACAGTCATTCAGCAGCTGCTTACCGAATCATTCTCTATGATATTCTCCAACATGCTCACAATGTCAGCGAATGAGGGTCTCATAGTGTAAGGCTCCATCCAACAGTTCTTCATGACGTGAAGTCTGTGGGATTCACACATACCAATAAAGTTTCACACCACCTTATGTAGATCATGTGGTGAACAGGTGGAGACTCACATCTCAGGTCTGCAGCCGTCAGGGTTGGTGTTTCTGTGACCGATGCAGATGTGGTACACCACTGCCTCCGAGGTCTCCAGGTTTGGGTACGGTAACATGCCTGGTAATACAGTAGTTTGTAGTAATTAGATGAACATTAGAAATGAATCTAGTACCACAGAAGTATACATTCAAAACTGTAGGACAACACTACTGTATATATATATTGCTCAAAAATAAACCCATTTGAAATCATCGAAAGTGTAACTGATTCAAAAAGCACAGTAGTTGAGTTTTATTTTTAGAACATGCCCCGCGGGCACCATAGGTAGTCCATGGGGGCTACCAGGTGCCCCCGGGCACAACGTTGGTGACCCCTGGTGTAAACACATGAGTTGAAAACTCACCAAACGTCTGCATCTCCCACAGCACGATGCCAAACGCCCACACGTCTCCTTTAAAGCTGTAGTAGTTGTTCTTGAAGTATTCCGGTGGATACCAGCGCAGTGGCACTTGCTGCTGTACACGATAAACACAACAGAAGAAGAGTGACCTGGTGTCAGACAGGACTTACACACAGAGGGGGAAAACAAACATAAATAATCATGTGGATTATAGATAGATTTACTTTATTGATCCCCAGCTGGAGAATAACAGACCATGTGGCTCAATGTTGACTTTAAAGTTTTTAGTCATTGCTCAATTCATGAGAAAAACAAATGACTGAGGTGAAAACAATAATACGACATAGAAAGTAAAGCGACAGTTTTGGAAGGATATTATGAGTAACCTACATCTGGTGGTAACGACCCCGTCTGTGTTGGTCTGCTTAAAGTTTGTTTCCTGTTAAGGCAGAGGTTCACAGACCTACAGCAGTGCATCCCTCTTGCCCTGGGCCCCCAGGGTGTCTAGAAACACCCCACACTTCACCTACCCGTGGGTTTCTCCAGCGATTGCTGTGACGACTGGTCAAACGTGATAAGTCCCGAGCCAGACCAAACTCTGCCACTTTCACCTCCCAGGGAAACTTACTGACCATGATGTTCCTCAGAGCCAAGTCACTGTGAACAATCTGAGACAGAAGGAGAAGAAGAAAGACAAGATGGCTGAGCTCCTACTCTGAATAATTTTAGAATTTCACCAGCATCTGTTGTTTCTGTCTCTTCACCATTTTGGAGCGTAGGTACTGCATGGCCAGAGCGATTTGGTAGGAGGCGATGGTGAGGAGACTCTGCAGTTCAGAGCTTGCACTCAGGTTAGTTCTGTTGGTCTGCAGGAAGGTCCTCAGAGTGCCGCAGCTCACATACTCCATGATCAGAATGTAAGGCTCTGGCAAAACAAACACACACTTGAGCGTATTCGTATTCTCAGTTATTTTTGGAGCCGTCAGTGTGAGGTACTGTGTTTGACTCTCACCTTCTACTGTGCTCCAGTCCAGGAGCTGCAGGATGTTCTTGTGATGCACCAGTTTCCTCATAATAGAAATCTCCAATTCTACATGCTTTAGACGGACGCCTTCAAGACAAAAAAAAAAAATTACACACAGTAACTCACAAACATCCACTGAGATTCTATAGATGAAACAGATGCAGCAGTTTGACAAAGCTCCACAGCAGGTCAGGGAAATGCATGTTTCTGACCATCTTTGCTGATTTTGCAGGTGAACATGTTGTGGCCTTTACACGTCCCTCTGCTCATCCTGGCCTGGTAGAAGATGCCCTCCTTCCCCGCTTTGATCAGCTGCAGCAGGTTCAGGTCTGACTTTGTAAATCGAGGACTCTGGGAGAGATTACGCAACACTTAGAAATATGAACTTCACGTCGCCTCGTATGCTCTTTCGTTTCATCCGCTTCTCATTCGAAGCTCCACTGACATTTATTCATGTGCTGTTGCATCATTTACATTGACTGTATATGTGGAACTGCTGCTCAATCCGCAACTATCACTTTTGGTGTGAATGCCCCATGAGGGAAAAACAAAGAAATTGAACTTTTAAAGCGGCATCGCTGGAAAAAACAAAACAGAAAAGGCACGGGCCTAAAGTTAGCCAAGGGGTGAGACTTGTGGCTTGTTTTTTGACTCTGAGGTATCACTCAAACTGGGTCAAGAAATGAGCAGACAAATAATTTTCACAAATGCCACTTTTGACCCCGGATCAGCTAGAGGTGTGACAAGCCAAAAAGGCAATAACCCAAAAATGATAAAGCGCCACAATACAGGGATTTTAAGTTTTTTTTTTTCTTTTGGTGTGAACACTCGAGTGCCTTACAATATCTCAAGATTAAAATATCTTCCTCTTTACACCAAAGGTGAATCTATCTTTTAAGATCCACCAGTGCTCTCGCCATCTTAGATCTTTGGATCTAAGATGGTGAGAACACTGTGAGAGCACTGGACCGACTGTCACACAAAGAACGATTTAACAACCTGGTTTGCATTAACATAATGTGACATTACTGTTACAGAAGTGTATGAAGCAGAGGGGGAAATACTTTGTCTCTTTCTGTGGTCTCTTTTATGACAGGAAGTAGAATTGTCTTTTTGAGAACCTGAGATGACATTTGATTGTGTGGGCTTGTAATGCAAACCATGACACATTTCCAGGGTTTAGACAGATGACTTCACAGCCCTGCAAATACAGACTACCCTGCAGTGTCTACACCTCCAACAGATTGTCAAACTTTATCTAAACGATGATCATAAATATGACAACATTAGAGGCTGTTGTCGGGTCAGTTTTGTTCTCACACCTGATGGAGGCTTTTCCACAGTTTCTTTGATGGAATCCTAACTGTGCTCCTCTGCTGGAGAGGAGTGGTGGTTGTAGGAAATTCCTCGTCCACCGTCTCCACTTCATCTGCTTGTACTGGCCTCGCAGGAATGATGGGAGCTTCTGTCTGGGGCAGACGTGAGGGCATAAACCTGGTGGCTCGCAACTCCCGAATAGTAGAAGCCATTGAACGATATCTGGAAAAAACATCAAGTTTTTGTTTTGTTTTTTTAATAGGGAAGAATAAAAACGTAACTGTGTTATATGTTATTGTTGTAACAATAATTGATTTAATTCTGTTAGAAATGCTTTGATTCTTGGTTGAAGGTAAGAATATTATATTAAAAAAAGGTATTATTATCATTATAAAAAGGTTTTTTCCTGCCCTCCTATTTTTTTGGGCGTATCAAACAATTAAAGAGCCTAATCTGAACAATCACAGATTAGCTATGATTAATCACTATTTATCCTGATTAATCAAGGTAAATCAACATTTCGGGGGACTGCTAACTGATCAATGTGGTTGGACAACTGCTTCACTGAAGTCTTGACTGTAACTCTTGAGTTGTGTTCCACCAGCCAGTGTCGAGATACTAAGTAACGACTTAAACTCCCAAACTCTACAAGGACAAGTTTTGAGGTACATATACCTTTGCATATTTTTTTTCTAAACATTTTTCTACATTAATAATGCCATCATTTTGATTAAGAATTAAAAATGGATGTGAAACACAGACATCTACCTGCTGATATTTGTCTCTGTTCCATCAACAGAAAATACATTTTTATGTAACATTAAGAAACATTGATTTATCATGATTGATACACAGCTAACCTGTGGATTAAACAGATTAAAAATGCTCTTTAATCATTTGACGGCACTGAAATATACTGAATGAAATATTTTTTAAAAATGTTAGGTTGCAAAACAGAATCCAGTTGAAACTGTTTCAGCCTCACTTACTTTTTTAGACACAGCATCCCGACCACTGTGCACTGAAGGATGATAAAGCAGAAAGTTCCAACCAGGATGTAGACCAGTATGGCCCAAGTGGAACCTAGGGAAACCAACAGAACAAATAACTTCACAGATACTGAACAAAGTGTAGGTGAACCTGGGAGCAGTGTCTTACATGTGTGGTCTGGAGGGAAAGACTGAGAGCAATTCACAGGAGTGGCGCTGTTAGAATACAACATGTTGGACGCCGCTTCTCTCTGCTAAAGAAACAAAAAAGAAAAAGGATAATAAAATGGGCCGAGAGAAACGCATCAGACACATTTACAATAAATCTTAGTGGAATATCCAAATGATCTCACCTATTTCTGCTGCCTGGTCACAAGTTCGTCCACCAGTCGACTGAAAACGACGTGAAAGAGTTGAGTGAATGCAGTGTGTGTGTGTGTGTGTGTGTGTGTGTGTGTGTGTGTTTCTTGTCTCGTGAGTTCAAACCTGAGACAAAAGCCAAGGTCGACCACAAAACAAGCAGAGGAAATGAAGACGAGCAGCAGGTGGTTTGACATGCATGCAGATCCAACTTTAAAAACAAACAAAAAAATTATTTAAATAATCCAATTATTTTTACTACATATGCTTTTATTTAATTTCAGGAATTTAATTTTGAGAAGACTTTCACGGTTCAATCCTGAAAGTCTGAGTGATGCGTTTCAATTTTGAAAACTAGTGGCTCTGCAGAGAAACCTTTCTAGATTTTTTAGCATCAATATTTCAATTCATAATAAACAGATGGATAGAAAAACACTTTTCTGAGCTGGAGGGCTGAGATATGCGAGTTGTTAGGTTTCATTTGAACAAGGTGTGGTTTCCCCCCCCCCCCCCCCCCCCCCCCATCTGTAGAGCAGCTGCATCGACACCACAAGGTCACTCCATGACAACAGTGCTTTAAACTACAGACAAATGTCAATACGTCATGAATTCTACTAATAACGACTGCTATTACTGTCCTAGGTACTTCCTATTATTATTGGTATGACAACTATACAGTATTATAGACTATTAATGTTGGATATCAATACATGGTATGAAAGCAAGTATAATGACAGCGGTGGAGATTAAAAATAAAAATATCGATTCAGACTCAGAGTGTGATCTGTTCATTAGAACCAGTTGTACTAGTACTTTCAGAAGTATGTGTGAACATGCTCATTCATCAATCACCTTTTAGTCAAGATAATATTAATGAAAGTGAAAGAAAGTGAAAGTGAACTACTTGTCATCTTGACACAGCACACCACTGCACACATAACGAAATGTGACCTCCGTTTTTAACCCATCACCACAGTGAGCAGGGGGAGCAGTGTGTGGGGATGGTGCCATGCTCAGAGGACCTAGACTCGAACCTGAAAACTTCCTTAACCACCAAGCCACCACTGCCCCACTTTTGGGTTGAAACCATGAATACAACAGGGAAATAAACATTATTAAGAGTGGAAATAAATATTATTAAAAGGTCAGGATCAGGTCCTCAGTTAGGAAATAACAAGAATCTGTGAATAAAAACAGTGGAAGAGAAGAGTGGACACCAACCTCATACATGGAAACAATCAGTCAAAGTGTGACTTTAGTGTAGAAAGGGCGTCTACCTACAGGACCCACAGTGATAGTTGGTTCCACAGTAGAAGGAGAAGGATCCATCCATCCACCCAGGTAGTGTTTGGTATTTACAAGACTCAGGACCTAAGAAGCTCAGGGTTAAAAAAAAAAAAATCATTAGTTTTAACAAGAACAGCAGTGGATAATTCGACCTTTGGACAGAAACTTGTGTTAATAAGTGTGTTTGAAATCAGAATTATGTACAACTTTACAAAGTTTTTTTTTCTTTATACCCAGAATACAAATCAAACCTCTGATTTCGGAAGTCGTTGTTTCCTCTGCAGAGTTTAATTTGTTGGTTGGATATTTTGTTACAGATCAACAGTATCACTCCATATACAACTACAAGTACAGCATTTTGTACAGTCCATATTCAAATACATACTTTTTCATTGGCTTATTTACAAAACAGATTTTATGTACAAGTTTTTTTTAATGTCAGTGCAATGTCACTTTCTTCTCAAACTAACACTTAAAAAAAAAGCTCTTTAAATTAACACATCTGCTTCAGATTCAACAGAAAATAAGCTTAAATTAAAATAAAAGAGAGACAATGGGAGACAGCTCAGTAGTTGTTTGCACTGACTGTGATGCTGAAACAGTCTTGTGTTGTCGTAGTGGGAGGGTGGTTGGGGAGGGGGTGACAGGAGGAAAGATGGAAGAAAAAGAAGGGTTTAAATACAAGCTGGAGGTTTCACGGGATCAACCTTAGTCTTATATTTTCATCTCTGTTTTGTTGACAAGAAAAATCTAATTGTGATTAGAACTATTACCTTTAAACTTGCATTTGTGCTAATGTTGTTAGCTTAGCATCACATGTTGTAATTCATGGATAAAAAGCAAAAAAAAATTAAAATAAAAATGGATAGCTATTGCAGCTTTGGACAAATTCTCTTTAAAAATGTTCCCTTTGAGCAACATGATGACAAACATGGAAAATGGACAATAAGACATCGTCTCCAGCTCTGTGCAAATACAGTACGACAAATTTTCATTTGTTCGGCAAACACACTCCCCAGAGGAGAACACTGTTTCTGTCACTGGCAGAGCCTTCTGTCTCTGTAGTGACGCCGCCGCCGCCGCCTCATCGGCACAGCAGCTGAAAAAGGGTCTGAACACAGAGATTTGTCTGCTGTGTCTTTTAAAAAGAAAAGACAGGGGAGTGCGGGTGGGGAGGGGTGACGGGGAGTCACAGTGATCGGGAGATGCTCTGCTCCACACTTGCCTCGCTCCTCGCAGCAGAGCTCGGCTTTGTTCGCGTCAGACCGACCTCAGCAGTCGTCTGGAAGAATTTTATTTAATATCAGTGGCAGGGTTTACGTCAAACATAGGTTTTAGGTTTAGCACAAACAGGAAAAGAGAAGTAAAGAGAAATAATTCAAATTATGAAGCTCAGCGATTACAGATACACTCCAGACACATGCTGCATGTAATCAAACTGATTCAAAAAGCCTTTGGTTATCATTATCTCCAAAGAAAATGAGCAAACAAACAAACAAAAAAAAATCAAGTCAAGCCTGTAGGCTAATGCAAACACAATCATGGGCTGAAATGTGTCTGTGATTTTCCTGATTGCTCTCTTACAATTACCAATAAAAAAAATTTTTTTAGCAAATGCATTTTTACCATAGAACATGAAACATTTGACTGTTTTCCAAGTGACACATTGTAGGACAGTGAGTGAACAGACAGTTTACCTTGAAGCTGATATCAAGTTACATTTGCGTTCAAAGGAACAGGTGGGGTGGGACAATTCACAGAATTCATGACTTAATTGTTACATAGTTAGACCCAAATACAAAAAAATTAAATTAAATAGCAACAAATACTGAGGGTATAATTAATTTAAAATTAAACACAAAGTATTTTGCAGGGATAATGTTAACATTAATTTTAAGCTGGCATCTTGCAATATTTTTAAATTGATACAAAATGTCAATGTTAATTAATCCTAATTGTTGCTTAAAATTTTAATTTAATTTTTGGAATTTTGAATCTTTCCAAATTGTAATTTCTCTGTAGTCATTTATAATATAAATACATTATAGTATGTAATAAAACCACATTTGTTTCTTAACACTAGAACACAGACAATTTAACAGTAATTTAGAGGCCAAAGGCCGAAGTCGGCTGACAGGAACCAAAATGTGAAATGTGTCTAACTTCACTTCTTATCTCGCTTATCTCAAGCGAGAACTCTTATTCAGGTGACAGTGTTTGAAGCTAGCACACAGACGATAAGAGTTCTTGGTGGGGTTTGGGACATTTGTCAAACACGGTTGAAATGTTAAAACCACTGATGAGCAAAACTTTTCTTTTCAGTCTTGGTGGAGTTATAATTCAAATTCATTTCTACACGGAACAGTTAGGTTTCATATCGTCGAGTTCTCCATTAATGCATTTGTTACAGTTGTGAAGTTTTATGAACCGTTATTGAATTACAACAACAGCTCTTTCTGCTGTTCCTGATGTCACACTAGGCTCAAGGCTAATAAAAGTACTTTAAAGACCACAAGTAGATGAAGTGGATTGTGGGTAAAAATGTCCAAAACCAGAAGCTTTGGGGCAGAAATTGCTAATGGTATTTGTCTTTTCGGTGTCACATTCTGTGTTTAAAGGTTGGAATTTGATTGGATCATTCGTTAGCATTATAGTAACGACAACAGTAGAATAGTAGGACGTTTGTTGTAATTTAGGAGACTAGATGTCCCAGTGCTAAATTGCAAACATGATCCTTATAAAAAAATGTGAAAAATCTGTTGTAGCAAACAGGAAGAAGGGAAGAAGCTGAGAGAATCAAGAACCTTAAATAACAGAAGGGGAAAGATGGGCCTGAACAGACCAGCTCCTGATCCCTGCTTTAAAACATTTCATAAAAACAATGCAATGACAGTAAAGAAAAAAAAAGAAAAAAAGTACATTCAGTTTTTTCTGAACTCATGGCATCTGAATAGAAGACTATTAATAGTTTACTTATGGTGAAATTAGCTCTTCAGAGAAGTTACAGATCCAACATTGCACAAATCATCACGACTGTTTGGCAGCTTCAGAATCAAACCTTAATTTCTGTGCCTGTTGATTTTGACTTGAAATATCGGGCTTTCTGAAATGTTGTGTACCAGTTACAGCACATGTTAAAACAGAGAGGAGCGTGAGGCATGTATGTATCGTTAATACTGTCACTGGGATTAAGGGGAGGGTTGACTGACGGGTGCAGAAGGCGATGAGGTAGCAAACAACGTGGATTTTTTTTAGTGACACCATCAATTGACAATAGAAGGTGACAGGACATTTGGCATCAGATATGACATCGTTACAGCATAAATTTAAAGATTTTGCCTAACTTTATCAATAAAAAGTTCAATTTCCCTTCGCTGTATACTAAATTTCTAGGCTCGATTGATGCTAGCGCTTTTCATTTTTGACATCACTTGTGATTTGTGATTTAAGCACAATGACAATCACTTCATGACTTGGCCACAGTGGAATACTTTTAGAGATGCATTAGGGTGTATTTGTTACATGTATATGGTGGCAATGCTTGTTAACACGGAGAGGACGAGGAGGAGGAGGAGAGGAAGGGTTGAGCAAAGTGCTATCACCAGGGCTACGTTCTCATCTTGGCAAACATTTGCACAAATCCATGTTCACGGTCAAGTGTAGAAAGTGCTGCGGCGCATCGCTTAACTCAGAGAATCACAGTCTGACGTCACTCTGTGCTTCAGACTGGTAGGTCTGTGCTGCTGTCTCCTGCTCTGAGCAACAGGAGGCAGCAGAGAGCAGGAGCAGTTCTGGCTGATGGAAGACCACTGGGCCATCACTGGAGAACACAGTATTTCTTATAGTCAGACTCAAAGTCTTCGTCCATGCTACTGGTGTCAGCCATCTTCTTGCCGTCGATCTTTGGCAGGAACTGGGAGTAGTTTACACCCTGCTGTTCGTAGAACAGGATGTAGGCAGAGTCGCTGTCCACCTCCTCAGAGTGCACTTCCTGAAGAAAAGAATAATTCTGTTTGAACATTTTACCTTTGCATCTGTAAAACAGTGACTCCCAAATAGGGTGTTCCTGGTAAACTGAGTTCAAAACCGTTCACCAGGAACACCCTATTCTAACATATGATTTCAGCTACCCCTCACTCCGCTATCATCTTACCTTACAGCTGCTGTCATTGTAACAGTACCACTTGTCATTAGGGTTTTTGGCATATGTCACATAGTGGCCTCCTCCCATGATTCCTGAATGGCACTGAGGAGATAAATCACACCATTTCTTCAGATGAGTTCACAACAGTGCCAAGGGGTCTGCTCTATGGCTGTATTCTGTATGACTGCATGACAGTAACCCACCGATATTGCATAGAGGTTGTAGATGGCGTCAGGACACGTGTTGTCCCTGTGCTGCAGCAGCATGTTGTCGGGTTCCATGCAGCTCTCAGTGCTGCAGCCTGAGCTCAGCCCGTTGCTGTCACCGTTCACCAGAACCACCTCGCTAGTGCTGCTCAACACTTCACTGCTGCCCACCGGCTCTGGTACGTTTGCCTCTCCTGATGCAGCACTGCCCCCTGCTGCAGAAACAACTGCTTCTGTGTCTGCCTGTGCTGCACCCTCCCGGGGCTCAGCCTCAGAGTTTGCACCTGCATCCAGATTCTCTTTGCTGTTAGAGAGACGGTGTCTGCTGCTCAGCTGGGGCAGGCGTAGTCGACCTGGCCTTCGCCCTCCACCGCTACTCTTCGGACTTCCAGAGGGGCTGCTGCTTCTACTCAACGAAGGTGCCGACTTCCTACTGGAGGCAGGAGAGGCTGAGGAAAGACAAAAGCTGAATTATAAGATGCTCAGGTTATTTCTACCAGAGTTCACATCGATAATGAAAAAAAAATATTACCTTTGGGAAGATTGCAGAAACCAGCAGGAGCAGATATAGATGAGAGGTTGTCTTCGCCAACCCTCAGCAGGTCCTCACTCTGGCTGCGGGAGTGGAGGCAGCGCTGCTCCAGGTCTCTCGGAGCCAGGAAGGCGCTGGGATCAAAACTCTCCCGTGGAAACTTGACAATCTTCTGGGATTTAATCCAACGACCATTAACAAACTGGAAGCGTTTCAGGTGAACAATCTGGTAAAAATGATTAAAAAAAACACAAAGTGAGTGTTAGTGTCTACTAAAAATATTATGGACAACACTAACACCAACACTGACTGACTGACACAATTGTCAAATGGATTTCAATGGACTGTAAACTGATTTATATTACTGTATTATTCTCATTGCCTGTTTCAACAACAGAATGACAAAAACTTTTTTTTATCATATTTAGGAATGTAGAGTAATCTTAATTAATCATGGTTAATTGTAATAAATTCCAATTACAGCCACCCTGTCATTTAACAGAATAACAATTAGAGGAAGTAGTGGAAAAACATGAGCCAGACTGGATCTAATTCAATCTCTGACCAGAATGGGTGGCAGCCTCCAGAGGTCCAGCTTCTTTGTAGCGAGCCGATGAGTCTTGCACTTGGAGCAGTAGTAGAGCTCGTCCTCTCCCAGCTCCTCCTCACTGGTGAAGGCCCTCAGACAGCTGTCCAAGCTGATGGGCTCAGCCTGGGCTCGACGCGACTGCTCCACACTGCAGTGCTCCTCTATGATCTGCAGACACATGACGGTATAAAGTTGCACTGAATAATGTGAAGACACTCTGAAGGAAAACTACTGTTGTTTACCAACCATCTGGCACACTGACATGATTACAGTTGGAATACACAACAAGTGCTTCTCTCATTAGTTAGACATTGTACAATATTACACTATTACATACACACATTTAAAATGTGTTATGCTCAATAATTTTAATATTGTTCGGCTGACCCGTCAATTCAGGTAAAAACACCAAGAGTAAAAACAAGTACATTAAGACACAAAGATATAAAAAAAAGATAGAGACTACTGTATAATTATGGTCATCTGGTTGGGCTCTTTGACGACTCACCCTCTCCTGGGACGTCTGGTAACGTAGGTGCAGGGCAGTAGGGTCCCAGTCCACAGCTATGTAGGCGTTCTCAACCAAGGCCCTGTCGTCTGTACAGTCTATGGTACAACCTCGACAGAACCTGCAGACACAAAGGTAAGGACAGATTCAGCTGCATCACTCATACTCAGAGAGATTTGGGAAACCAAGCATATAAAGCATATAAAACATAAAAAAGGCCTCACCTGTACCAGGGACACCAGGCACATGAGTTGCCGTCTTTACTCACAACCCGTAAAGTGAAAGGATACTGGTAGCCCATGCTGTCGTCGCTGCAGGTGAGGAGTAAAGGTTAAAGAATGAGAGGAAGAGAGAGAAAATTTAGTTTTATATATATATATATATCCATTATGCAAATAAAGTTAAAACTGTATTTTTGTCTAGCATGTTGTGGCGTACCAGTCCTGTGCGTGGTTGCTGGCCTCCTGTGGGGGCAGTGGACTGGCCAACCTGGACACCTGTATCCAGACGGCGTCGTACAGGTCTTTCTTACTGGTGTGAACGGTGCAGGGGACTATGAGAGGCATTCCAAACAGACTGGGCCGGTTCTTCTGAGATGACAAGAAGTAGAGCTCCGTGCGCATCTAAAAAATACACACAGTATGTATATACATGAAATCAGTCTAAACAAATGCCTGGTGATAGAGAGGATTGGAAAGTAAGTAACAAAATAACATTGACATTCTTACCATTTTCCTGTGCATGGCGATGATGTATCCAATAAAGGGACTTTCCTGCACGGGTGTTATGTGTCCATTAGCAACACCGCTGTTGACGGATGTCTCTGAGCTACTATCTACCATGGTGCTGGGTCCACCGTTAGGAATCAGGCTGGATTTGTTGACCAGGTAACCATTAGGAACTGAACCATTGGCTATTGGTGTTGTGTCTTCTAAAATAAAGAGAAAGAGAAAAAAAGGAACGCCTTTTTAAAGTGTACAGATATATATGGATTAGTCAAACTTTTAACATGCATCAACAACTACTGTATTACAGCAGTGATGAGTAGGTGGACAGTACTTACTTTAATTGATTTAGCCCTAGTATGAGTAAATGAGTAAACCAATAGCTGATCTTACCTGTAAGTGTGGGTGAGCTGAGTGATGTCGGTGAACCAGGCACTGGGATCTCAAAAGCACACAGAAAGCCATTAACAGACAGACGCACCTTCTGGTTGTCCTGGGGGAAGTTCTGCACACACAAAAAAGACAGCACATCAGCCTGCAGCATCAACAGGCTGTACTAGGAAAAATGAAAATCTGGTGAAAATGAAATCTGTGAAATCTGGTTTAAAAGAAGTCATTTTTAAAAAGTAAAAATATGTGCAGTTTTCTTCTCTTTAACCACACCACTATTGAGACTAAAAAACAAAAAAAGGAAAGTCCTCTTGCTAACTTGCCTTTGAATCACATGATTTAATTTATTTTCCCCACATGATCTTCCCAAATTGTTTCCTACAGTTTTTGTTTGTATGTGAGTATGCAAATAAACAACAGTATTTTTAGCAGAGACCAAGAATAGTATTTTAATTTGGTTATGAATAGGTGAGAAGAGCTCGGAGCAATTTGAATGTACCAAATGTGATGTAGGCACAAAGGAAGTGACTACAAGAGGGATAAAAAAAACAAAACATAGCCTTACTTGTTTTTTAATCCATTATTTTTATTTGTATTGTGGACTAAAGTGTCGTCTTCCCTCACTGCCTGAGGGTGGCGCTGTTATTCTCCTACAGTCTAACACTGTCTCACAATGTGTGCACTGTAACGAGCTAAACGCTGGTCACAGACGAATCTGTGTTCTACAGGCAAAAAAATAATACACCTTTATATTTGGGTACATTTGTATGTGAACAAATAATCTTAACTGAATACTATGATTGGAGACACTTTTCTAAAAATAACCTGAATAAAAAATAAACCTAAATAAACTCAGATGGATACATGGGTCATTTGATGTGGTGGGGGTAAGAAAGAATTGGTCTTTTTGTATTTTGAAATTACAACAATGATGTAGGGAGTTCAGATTCCTCCCTCTCACTAGTTCACAGTACCTTAATGTTGGAGTTGTGGACCTCAGCCAGAAGGATCTGCTCTGGCTTCAGACCACACAGCTCGCTCAGCTGTTTCTTCAGTCCTGTGTATTTCTCATCCATATTCAGCCTCAGGCCGTACCGCACTGGTGTGGAGCCGTCCAGCTTAATGACTGCAAGCACATAAGCATTTAGTAACTTTAACCACATTATAGCAGTTGGTTTTTCCTCTCGGTCCCTAGGTCTTACCAGTGATCTCCAGATGCATTGAGCTGTCCATGGGCAGCGGCAGTGAGAGGAAGTTGAAAGGGTCAAAACGAGCACTGATGTGGCCGCACGTCTTACATTTCACCTGGGACTTGAGTTGACCGTGGAACAGATCCACCACAATAGAACGGTTTCTGCGCAGGTGGTTCTCCCAGGCCTACACTCATAGACAAACAGAAAGTAAGTACATGGAATCACATACAATACTCATAGTTTTAATCTTTTTCTTTGGACAAACTTCAGCAAATACAGCTATGTTACAAGTTTTAAAGCAGGTCTCAAAGGATGCACTGAGTGATTATTGATTCCTTTTTGATCTCCTCGACGCTGACTTTGTCAGTGGACACCAGTAAATGTTTCAGAGAAGCCTGGAAGTTAAGGTTCTTCAATCAAAGTGGGGTACGGACATTAAGCTGACACCATCAAGAAGGGCTTTTATAGAACACAAACATCTGCAAAACCTGCTGCCGTCAGTACTGAAACTGCTGAGTGTTTCTTAACATAATCTCAAATCATAAGTCACAATTCCAGGAAATTTACAGCTAGCTAGACCCATGAGACAATATTCAGAATTCTATACTGTATGTCTCTAAAAATTCTACATTTTAATTTACCATATTCAATGTATTTGTTTGAGTGACTGACCTCAGATGCTACTTCCCAGTCAGGCCGACCATCACTGTCCTTCAGCTCCACATAGGGTTTTTCATGGACTCGGTTCAGGTCTTCGTGCAGACCATCTAGCAGAAAGGCCAGCAGCTCTTGGGAGTCCTGCTGCTGGAATCCATTAAAGCGTGGGGCGTACTTAGCTATTGTCCACTGCAAAGAAGGCCATTAGATTATTATACAGCAGATGTAATTTTTAGCTTTATATTTTACATTAGAAAAATCCCATACCCAAACTAAAATGTCACAAACAGTATGTAATGAAATAAAATGATCTACTAGTTTCAAGCGCTTGCAATGGATGTGGAAAATGAGAAGAGGGCTAGAACAGTTCTAATTATTACCAGCAAATAAATAATAGTTTTCAGACCAAATAATTTAAATTGGATAATTGTCCATGGTACACCTGGTGATCTCTCCTGACACACGGCAACTCATGTTGAGAATCACTGATTTAGGATAACAGGATTGGCAGATTATTACTGTGAATCTGCCAATAACAGGATTGGCAGATTATTACTGTGAATCTAACCTGATTCTAAAGCACTGGCAGCAACAAACTAGACAGCAGCTAGGCACTAAACCCTGTGCATGTGATAGGGCTTCACACTCAGTTTGACAATGGTTCCACATAAAAGCTGTCACTCACTCTCAGTTTGAGCGGGGCAACGTTCTTCTGTGTGCCGCTCCACAGTTCCATCACCAGGTCCCCATAACACTTGGCCATGTGACCCCTCATCCCAATTGGGTTAGTTCTGTAAAACAACCAACACTGGTCAGTTCAAATGACAAGTCTACATCAAAGATGTGTTTTTGTTAATGGCTAAAAAAAGCACCTGTTGAGCTCATAGAGGTGTTTCCCTGAGATGAAGTAGTCTGTTAGAGGCTTGGTGTTGCTCACGCACTGAATACTGGAGTTCATGAAGCAGGTGTTGCCAAGGTTACTGAGGCCAGTGGCTCCTTTCTCTGTGGGTACTGGATTTTTAACAAAAACAAGATTTAGGGATTTTTTTAAAATCCCCCATTAAATATTAAAACTAAAAGGAATGAAGATTTAAAAGAAGGATAAACACATGGCCTTAAAAAACAGACAAACGGACAAAGTAAATATTAAAAACATTTTAGGCAATAGGTATTCAAATCATTTGTCATCAGGTAAATATTTTATAACATTGATTTAATGATACTGGGTTTCCCCTTCCACTCTCAATGTTTGGGATGGCTGGTTGACCACATGGAATCAATTAGTCTAACAATCAAAACCTTCAGGTTTTTGTCAGCTTACCTTTATGCCTGTCCATTTTACTGCTGTTGGCAATGAAAGACATTTCTTCAGGCCAACTCATATCTTTGTTCCTGACTAGGGAAGAAAAGCAAAACACTCCAATGAAATTAATGTTTGCTGTGGATCAACATTTTAAAATAGATGACTTAGTTGCACTAATTCTGTTGTAAACTATAACAGAATGTGTCTTTTTACCTTCTATAACTAGCTGCTGCTCATCCTGGATCTTCAGACTCTCCAGTGTGTGATCTTCATCATCTAGGAGTGTGAGGTAGTTCTGCACAAGAACAGAAACAGAAACCCTCAACTTCCACTGATAAAACTGTAAGTCCATTTTCTTTCAAAAGTTGAAAACATTGGCCTTATTACTGTATCAGAAACAGACAATAGTAGAGTCCCATTTCGAAACATTACATTTTGTGTCAGTGGGCTATTTTCACATCGACTTCTATTAATACAAACAGAAGAATTAGTTCCACTATACACAAGTGGCTTAACCTTCACAACACCTAAACTTTGTACCATAGTTATATATGGTCTATAAATATAAAAAAAAATATATCTTTCACATTTAGTCATGAAACAACAAACCTGTGTTTGACTCTAGTTCAGCTCATGTAGAGGCACTCACCTCACTGTTGTAGAGCCACAGTCTCATGTCTTCCTCTTTGATGCGAAGTCTCTGGGACAGGTAGTAGTGGATGTCTTTGATGGTGCCCATACGACTAAAGCAGCCCGTGTAGGCCAACACTCTTTTGAGGGGAGCATTGGGCGATGGCACAGAACCCGCTGAGGAGTGCATTCAGTGACAGAAGACATTTAGGGACAGACGAAAATGTGTATACGTATATGAAGGCTAATATGAAGTATGTTGCTATTTTTCACATCAACAATGATCACAGCAAAGAGTCAACTGAGGATTAGTTGTAAGGAAGCAGCAAGAAAGAGCTTTAAAAAAAAAATCAATCAATCAGTTCCAATGTGATTGGTCAGTCAACTGAGTGGACTTAGATTGGATTAAATCAAAAGCAAACCAATCAATATTAGTCCTGTTAAATCAACACAAATGCTTCACTTAATTCATGTTGATGATTAAAAAAAATCAAAAACTATTATCTGTCATAACAGAGTTGCCATTCAGATAAGAACAACCTTAACAATTGTCATGTTCCCTTCTCTAAGTGTTATTTCCTAGGGCTGTGTGGGAGAAATTCTAAACATTTTAAATGGTTCACCATGGCAATAAAAAAAAAACAGAACCTGAGCACTAGTTGAGCAAAGACCTCTAGCACGAATCAGATAATCTCTCTCTTTCACTTCCTGTCTCATATAAGTGCATCTATCTGGGGTGGGGTAGATCTAATGCATGTGAAACCTGAACCTAAAGCTAGAACATAGAAACACTGCCTCTTCCCATCATATCACAACCTTGTGATATCAATGCTATGATGCCCACACTTCTTCACTGTAATGGCCTATAGACGACAGTCAACCTGTAACTATTAATGTACTGCAGCGCTAATGTCTAACTCTGAGAAACAAAGAAACTGAATGAGTCATCAGTGAAGCCAAAGCTCCTGTGGGGACCTGGGTTTGTGGCCTGAAACCTGATGCGCTGACATGATTTGGACCCAGGCTCTAATGCCCAGTGCTGATTTAATCTCAATTCATATTACAATGAAGCCACTCTGTATGCTTTGGCTAAATGCTGTGTTATCTTGTTTCTTTTCCTTTGAGCTAGGTTCAATAAATTAAGACGCAAGGGATCACAACAGCCCCAGCTGAAGTTGTGCTTCTGTTACGGTGCAGTTGATGTCTCTATAATGAGCAAACAGCTGTTATTACTACATTATATATGTATTCATTGAAATCTGCAGGAGATTTCATATACAGTAGACTCTACTGTACCTTCTAAATACAAAAAAAAAACACCAGGTTCAATGAAAAACATCTTTGCATTGTCTAAAAAGTGCACGACTACAGGCAGCAGATAATGATACCGTGTCCTGTCAAGACTTGTGACAAAATTCAAAAAGATAGAGAAGATAAAAAACCAGCAATAGGTCTTATTTTTTCAATGTCTGACAGGTCCAATTATTTTTTGGGGATATTGAATTTTTCATTACCACGTCTTCTTGAATCAATATTTAAATGGCCACATCTGTGAAGACAGACATGTTTCGATTATTCATTACCTATATGTAAAAGCAGTCACCCCACGCCATAGGCAGATGGTTCACTCTACTGCCCACACCACAGCAGTTCTGGGGCTGGATCAGTTTAATTTAATAAGGATTACATTTTGAGGAAGCCAGGGTGCTTAGTGAAGCATTTGTTGACGGCTCACTCCAGTCTTGCTGCAGGCTTACATTACCTCTTGGTGGGGGTAAATACGGTGGGAACATTCGCAGGCTGGTCATACCCATATTGACCCAGATGTTGGACTGTGGGGTGCGAGTGGCTGGCTGCTGGCGGAGGAAGAGGAGATAACGGGGGAAGAGCTCCAGCTCTGGTTGGTTAGTCTTACTCTGCAGGATGACCTGATGGATAAACACAACACTGAGTTGACTGACCTGACTACTGTATTTCTTATTTCATTGTCTGTTAAACATAAAATATATGGTCAGATGTTTTAATTAAAGCCACACCATTTAGGATATTATTAAGCATAAACAAAATAACCATTCAGTAATTTTACTGGATTACAGGGAGTTAAGTGCTATATCCAGTTTTGCTGCCCTCTGCAGGCATTTCCTGGGTGATTTATTTTAAATATAGATATATATTAATATATATATATATATATATATATACACATGGTTTCATAAAAAAAAAAAAAAATCAAAACAAACCAGAGCTTTACATGTCCAGGTCTTACAAATGCAGCTTTACATGTCCACGTCTTACCAACGCTCAGTTCTTGTCCATGTGTATGAAAAGTACAGAATAGTTGTTTACTTCATAAATCCATAGAACCCACATGATCATGCATATAAATTGATCTGAAGCAAGAAATAGAATTATACATAAACCCAGTCTTGTCTTGAAAAGAGGAATATTGTAAAGCATGTGATCCTAAAGAGTTACATCACCATTGTGTAAATAAATAGAATCGTTAATACAGTATGGAGCTTTAGACCAGATTTGTGAGACACTGCTGCCAGAAATCATGTGACATGCACCGGAAACTGTGTGGGTTGATTCCACACGGGGACCCGATGAGAACATTGCTCAGCTATAAAAAGATACTAATTTTAAGCCCTGAATATTGTTTCTAAATAAAGATTGTCTTCTGAATGTCAGTTTCTTTCCCCGAAAGGAAGGTATGTGAGAATCCCAAATGTAACGAACCCACAGGGCAGAAAAATACTTTGTTTTCCAGTGACTGCCACCATTTGAAAACAAATGCAAATGCAAAAATATTTTAAAGATAGACAAACAGGCAAATAAACAGCAAGTTCCCAAACTTCAGAGTTCCATTTGAACACAGCATACAAACAGCAAACAACAAAACACGATACAGCGTGAAAAAAAAGCCAGAGTTTTCTTTCAGAGAAACCCCTTCTCTTTTCTGGCTCACAAAATGAATGTTAAAGTATCGTTTCGTGTTTGTTTACTTGGTCTGTTTTGAGTTGCAAAAGAGCAAGGCCGTGTTTTTTTTTTTTTTTTGTCTCATATGGTTGTAATCACTTTTGCATTTTCTGCCTTTACAGACAGAGGAGCATTCTGACTGTGTGTGGAGGTTCTCAGTCATCCAAGTCATTTCATTCTGACACCTTTAGAAGTAGTCAACTGGACCCCCGAAATTATTTGATAGTATGACTGTTAAGTTGTACCAATTTGAAAGACACTTACCGGCCTTGGCAGGCTGAGGTTGGCACCATACCAGTGGCAGACCGCTCTCCAAACCGGCTCTGGTACGGTCTCAAAATCTCGACTAGGCACCAACTGCAAGGAGCGTTTCAGTCTACCGCCCTCCATGGTTAAGGTAGGTGCCTGCAGGATTTACAATGTAGACAAAATAATTTCAGAAAAAAACATGGTGCATGATGGATAATAAAAAGCCCAATAAGGTATGACACTGCCTATGGTGCGAAATAACAGTCTCCTAAAATTTAAATGTATTTATTATGTGGAATTTATGTACGAAATAACAGTCTCCTAAAATTAAAAAAATGTATTTATTATGTGGAATTTATGTTTTAAAATCTTGAAATCCAATATGAATCTATTTATCACATCACTCCTGCAGCTCAGCAGCTGCTTCTTAGAGTCCCTTCTTTGACCCTTCCCATGATTGGGGCCTTTTTACTCACCTTCACAGGCTCAGTGTTGACCAAGGGCTGGTTGTCAATTGCTCCAGGCCTCTGTGTTGCCATGTGAGAGTGTAGGTGGCCGTTGGCAGCAGAAAAGCACTGATTGTTGTTGTCTGATATGTTGTGTTGACGGGCAAAACAGCTCTCTGTGGCAGAGGCATAGACCTGGGGGCTTAGGGCTGCTAGGACACAGGAGACAGGGAAGGACAAGAGGAAGCAACCAGGACACAGTATACTTAGTTAGGACACAGTGAATCAGAACAGATGTAAAACTCAGTCGAGTTCACACTTGCAAATGCAACAAACTGTAACTTTGGTATGAACAAACAACTGCGTGATATGGAAACTGTTGCCACTGAGTAGCAGTCAGCATCTGGTCATGTTTTTTTTATTTCTACTGTGATAAGAGAAGAGTGCTGAGTTCTGGTCTACTGTGATAAGAGAAGAGTGCTGAGTCACCTGTTTCTGTTGCCTCTGAGGCACTGGACACAGCATCAGGTGACCTCTCCTCAGTGGGGCTAACGGGGCTGAAGGTTCCCAGTACTCCCACTCTCTCAGGGGGTGTGGGCTCTGTGGCCGTGGGAGTCCGCAGCGAGCTCAGGATGGATGGCTGCTCCACCACGATGCCCTTGTGCTCCTGGATAGTAAGACAATAGCAGGGACTGCCCTGTCATTGTTTAAAGTGATATTTAAGATTAATACAGGCTGTGCACTCTCTGTTTCTGTGCTGTATCACCGGGACACCATAAACAAGTGTCATATAGTACAAAGATACAAAGACTATTCGCATAGTCAGATGCCATACGATTCTGCGGAACAGTCGTTCTTCAGTTCAACTTACGTATTTGACATAGTCCTTCCATTGCTGCCACCACAGCATGGAGATGAGGAACCAGTTTTGACCCTGCTGAAGCCCATGTCTGCTCTCTCTCTCTAACCAGCCCCTACAATCAGTGATGCATTGCATTGCACAACAATGACCAGAACAGTTAGAATAATGGAGTTTTTAGTTAAATATATATATATTCACTGTGGATCTATACAGTATTGGTTTCTCAATGTGGATGAGTACAGACCTGATAATTTGTCCCTCCTCTTCAGGAGTTGCAGGCCGCAGCCCCAGGACTATGTGGCAAACCTAAAGTAATAAAATTGAGAAATAATGTGGAAAGAAAATGTCAGAAACTGTAAACTGTAATGCAGTATTATATAATGATGAGAAACAGTGCTTCTTCACTTACCTGGAAAAGCAGGTTTAGGAACTCATTGGCTAAAGCGCTCTTCACACTCCATATCTGATAGTCCTCCAGAGTCAGGTGACCCAGCTGATTAGGAATGAAGCAACATGGAGGTCAGTGGGAGGATATTTTATTACTGTTGTTGTTATTGTCAATGTTTACAACCGTAAATGGAGGACAACAGAGTTTCTGATCTGCTAGGTGGAAACTTATCATCCTATATTTTCATTACAAACTGAGCCATTTAAATACTGAATAAAGAAGTTTGATGCAGGATGAGGGATTAGTAAGGTTTGAGTGCTGTTGACATTTTCTGAATGAGTTTATGAAATATAAATGAAGCCGAGGTCAAACATCAACTGATCGGTGCAGCAAAAATGACGTGTCTCACCTTGGTCGTGTCATGCGTCTTCAGGACGCCCTCTACAATGTCTGACACGCTGCTCTGCATCTCCTGCAAGATACACACAGCATTAGAAACAACGAGGAAGGACAATGAGGAAGAAAGTAAATAAGTAGTGGTAAAAATAGAGAAGCTAATTCTGGAACAGCAGAGGGCGGGAGGGAAAGAAAAAAAGGGAAGTTAGGAGTGAAGGAACAGAGAAATAAGAACTGTTGATGTGACTTAAAGTGCTTAACACTGACAAAGTGAGGAAAGAAGAATGGACAGAGAGGAAGTTAAATAATCATACAGAGCAGGAGGGTTCAAAAGTGAAGGAAAGTTGAAATTTGGGAAGCATGTAGGTACAAAATGTGTAATGAAGCAAAAGGAGGAGCTAAAGGAGAAAGGAGGGATGACAGTATGAAGGTAGGGAGAAGTAAGAAACAAAGGAAATAAAAATAATGTAAGAAATAAAAAAAGAGGAAATAAAGAATGAAGGAACAAAATGGGTGGGATTCTAGAAAGGCAGAAAAAATAGAACAGTGTGAGATCAGAAAAGGAAAACAAACTTAAAGTGAGTAAAATGGTCAAAAACAGCAAAGAAAAAGGAAAGTATGGTGAAAGGAAAAAACGGAACTGGGTGAGGAAAGTAAATAACTTTAAATTTAATTAAGGCCTTAAGGCAAAAATGAAAGAGGATCAAAGAGGATGGGAAGAAAACGACAAGTGAATTTACAAACTCACAGGAAGTGTGTCTGTGCGATTGTCCTTCCACACCTCCAGCAGGGCCACCACCATCTCGTGAAGTTCGTCTCGAGACAGAATTCCATCCCGATCCACGTCAAACACTTTGAAGCAAACTGTCAGAGAAACAGTGATGCCGGGGTGAAATCCAAACCTGGATATAAAGCTCTGCACTGCGACTCAAACTGTTTTTATTGCATTGACGTTGCAGTTTACTGCATTATCGAGAAATCTAATATGCTTCTATTGTCTTCGGATAACAGCAACAAAGAAGAAAGAGGCTACACATGTTAGGATAAAAAGGTTTGGCATCATTAGGGCAAAACCTCTGGGATGAATTTATCTGACAATGCTTACATTTCTGCCTTTCAGCCACTGGCCCCCTGCAGCAGGCAGAGAGTCCACAGGAGATCTCTTTAAAGTCAATGTGATTGTCCCGATTCTCATCAAAGGCATGAAACAAGCCTGGAAAAAATGAGACAGACAGTAGAAAAATATGTTTTCAAAAGAAGAAGACAACCACCACCAAAAGTGCTACGTTAGCCTCTACATAAACATAGCCTATAAAAATAATAATAAAAAATAATAACCTAAGCAACAACGTGAAATTCTAATTTAGCAAAAATGGTCCTTTTTACCTTCACTCAGGGAGGCATGAATGGGAGGGGAGACCAGTGGAACAAAGGTTTCCAGGTCAAAACGTCCGGTTCTGGACTGGGCTTTCAGGAGCCAGTAGCGCTTCTCCAAGTCTATAATGTCTGACTCCTCCACTGCAGAGAGAGATGGACAAAAACAGACTGCTGTTATTGGTGTTTTCATACACAATATTCAGAAATAAATAAGACAGGTGACTCAACAAGAAATAGATGAAAAGTGTTTCTTCAAGAGGACTCTCTGGAAATGATAGAGTTGGTAATATACCCCAAGAAATGCAGGTGGGGCTGAATGTGACGAATTAATTCAAGGATCACAGACAAACGAGATGGTCTATAAATCTGCAGTAACACAGAAGTAATATATGATGCATATAAGAGAGAACAGTGTTATGAAGTGTTATGGTACACATGATGAATAATGGATCAGGTACTAAAAGCAAGGCAGAACGAAACAGTGGAGAATAGAAAAAAAAAAACCCCACATAAGCACGGAAGCAGTTTTGACTGGTGTGTGTGTGTTTATCAAAATTTGTCCAAGATACCGATACTTTAGACTAGAATTCTATTGTTGCAGATGATAGTTGATGATATTTAAATGTCAGGGCAATTAAAGGTGGGAGAAGATGAGAAGAGGAAAAACATTCACTTCTGTTTTGGTAAAAGTATTGATTAGGTTAATAAATAATGCAACATTATAAATATCAGGTTTCGAGAGTGTAGTGATTTTTTTTTATTTGTACAACAAATAATTTTAAAAAACAACAAAAATACTGTTATCCCGTACTGACATGACAACATTATTCATGGTGCCTAACAGGGTAAAGACCTGGCTTATACATCTAATTTGTGCTTGTTTTCATGTTTTGTCAGTGAGTCTTTACAGTCACTCGATGTAACACTGGGTGAGGCACATAGTAAATAACGACAAGTGCATTGTGCCATAACTGAGTTAAAGGCTGTAATATACACAGTTTACAATAATGTTTTATTCAGCTAGGACATTTTTAAGCCAATGCCATAGTTCAATTTTTTTTTATATCTGGCAACACTCACCATCAGTACTCAAATGATTGATCAGAAGTAGACATGATTACGATGTAACAACAGGAAACATATGTTTTGATCTGGTTATGTTTCCAGAGTGGAATATCTGACTGAGTTTGTATTCCAGTGACAGAGATCAGACAATTATAATAAATGAAAATCTGCCAGTGTCAGTGAGGAGCCCCCCCTCCTTTCCAACATGCTAATCCAAAGCTTAAGGTAAATAGGATTGTGCAGCGGACCAGCTAGCCTCAGGAATGGAATATATTTGACAGATGCTAACAGGCACAGTTGAGGGGCAGACCATTCCTGCAAGATATCTGTCATACAGTTGTCAACCAATCTACTAAAAACTTGAATCAAGTAAGAGAATATTTTCTGTGCATCAAAGTCACAAGTAATTAAACTGTTCTGAGGAGCATTCAATCACACAACTTTTCTAATGAATCCAAGCCTTCACACCACAGGTGAACGAATCACACAACTTTTCTAATCCAAGCCTTCACACCACAGGTGAACATCAAGCCGGTTGAACTTTGTCAGACTTGGAACCTGATCCATTACTTCCTTTTAAGCCACTGGTCAACGATGCTTCCTGGCTGACATGTTACAGCTTAAACAATCTAATGGTGCACTACATAGGAAATCAATCACTGACAGCATTCAGTGGACTATACGTTTCTTTTAGACACTGATAAATTATTGAGCATTACGAAAGCTATAGCACGCACTTGAGACTGCCATTCATGTTAGAATGTTCAGAAGGACATAGCTAATGCAAAAGCAACAGCAACAAAACATAAAATAAAATCAGGAAACAGGAAAGTCAGTAGTAAAACCAACAACTGGTCAGAATGATGTTAAATCCTTAAAACAAATCATTCACATTCTCAGCATGTGTCAAACTCAAGAACCAGGGGCAAGATTCAGGCCTATGAGACCCAGCAGTAAGAACAGATGTTTTTTTGACTGCCTCTGTCTGAGTTTGAGAATGCATAAAATAAAGTGGGTTAAATTAATTTACACCTATGATTTTGTATGTCCTTTGTTTCGTAAAATACATGTTATATGTTGTATTTAAGCAACACATTCAGTTTACAGTATATATACTTTCTTAGCTCTAATAAAAAAAAAATCTACATTTTGTTAGTCAAGTGTGGAAGAAACATGTTTGTTTCTGCTTCAAATCCAACAAGTAGTGCTTTACATGTTTTCTAAAATAAAGCACCAAATTTATAAATTCATTTTCATAACCAGCTAATTACACTAGTTGTTTTCTGCACTTATAAACTGACACCACTACTGTTGTCTCAAACTTTGACAATGAGCACCAGACACGAGGTAATAGCCAATAGCTGTCAACACACTGCTCTGTCCATTTGCTGCTAATGTGTCTATACAGAGCAGCACTGTTGACCTAATACCCACCTAAAGGTGCGACTCTCTCCGAGTGGCAGCAGAGATACCATACCATTATCCAGGGAACATCCTTACAGAGGTGTCGCCACAGCCATTGTGTGTCACAACTACATCATCATTGTCCAAACAACGTTCTCAAACACAGACACTATGACAGGTTTTAGTCTCAGTCAGAAGATTCACAGTGACAGGCCCTGCCATGACTCAGTTTTAACGTCCGTCTTAACAGCAGGAGTCATGGACCAAGAGTGTGTCAGTCACTCTCTCACCGACACAGTGTTAAGAGGATAATCTGGGGGAGTCCGATTAAAGTAGAGCTTCCATTTTCTCTGAACAACACAGGCTTCCTTTAGTTCACTGTCCTGAGTAGCAAAGAGCTACTATTATAAAAAATAATCTTTTTTTTATTAAAAATGTCAAAGTCATTGCACCAGACAAGAAAGGAAAAATCATACACAACCAAAGCATAGCTGAGAACCAACCTGGATTCCCTTTAATCAAATATTTGATTGCACACTACACCTTTAGTATTGTGACTCAGTCTGGGGGCCACAACCCTACCCCCAGGCCCTACTCCAAATTACACAGACTGCATCAGACTCCCTTCAGATTTGGACAAAAAGCATATTATCTATCGCCTTCTAACAAGATGACACAGTACGCAGACACTTTGTCAGCCGTAGCAACTATGCAACATTAACGAGTTCCATAAAAGGACAGAGACATTAGAGGAAGTTCACTTTAAGTGGTGCAGCACAGTCAAACGACTGCACCGTGGCTCCATAGGTGCCATGCATTCACCTCATTATCCCTCCTCCACTCCCCTGTAGAATAATTCTATTGTCATTTTCCACAGTGTTTGCAGCACAAACGATTGTTGTTGGGTGGGAGAGTGCTGCTAAAGCTTACCTTCTGTATACTTTATATATGCAGTATTTTAAGCAAGCACATCTAATAAGAAGTAAACTATACACTGAAATATATTTCCTCTCAGCTTTAAAGGAAAGGAAAGTGAACTACTTGTCATTGTGACACAGCACACCACACACAACGAAATGTGAACTCTGCTTTTATCCCATCACCAACGTGAACAGTGGGCAGCCACCAAGTCATTAGCATTTCTTGAAAGATTAATTGCAAAGGTTAAACTAAATGATTAACCTTTGCAATTGATGATTTCAATTTATCTTGAGTTCAACTGAATAAATCATAAAAGTGTGAGGTGTATAAATAAACAGTCTTTTCACAGACTGTATTGTATTACCATTCACCACGTCCACTGTTTATGCAGCGGTTGCTTGGTTGGCACACTTCATGAGCCAAGGATGACCATGACACGAGACCTACTCGACGGCTGCTAAATCAGCATTCGCCACATGATATAAATCACAGAGCAAATAGTAAAGCAGTAATTGCAGTTGCTTTATTAAGAACTCAAACTAAAAGCTTTCAAAATAAATGGAAGTCAACAGATGGCATCTCTTATATAAGGAGCTCTTTCAAAGGCAGCTCCCATAACAAAGTTCCCTCAGGATTATCACAGTGAGCCATTAATCAGTCGTTAATCAATTCATCCAACCACACATGTATGCAAAGTTATCTAATGTATATTGATTTAAATTATTTTCTGTTTTATTTATAAAATTAAACATAAGTTGGAGTTCCCATAAAAAAGAGGTGAAGCATACAAACAAGTTAATTTAATGTTATTGGACTCACAGTGTGTGACACCAGCCAGGGTCTGGTAGAAAGTGGGCGTGTCACTGTCATCAGTGAGTGTGACACACACTCCTCCAGACAGCAGCCATCTGGACAGAGTGAAGGCCTCCTTGTTCTGCAGCAGCCAGATCCTGAAGCGCTCATAGTTCACCTTGTCGCCCTGGAATAACACACACAAAAATAATTAAAGTTGACTCAGCTCTAAATAAATATCTGTCAATAAATAGCCATTCATTCATTTGGTAATTTAAAAAAAACAAAACAATAACACTACTTCTTGACATCATAATTTTCTGGTGAATTATTACATGTGGTTACTTTCTGTCCTTAAAAGATAATCAAAGAAACTGTTTTAGTAAGCATTACAAACAGCTAACATTTAGCTTTACTGTATATAGTGTAAAATCTTGGCACCATGTAATGACTATTATACATCTTCTCTGTTGATTTAAGTTTGACGCAGTATGACTCATAACCCGTCCTTTCCTGTCAGACACCGTATATCTGTTTCTAACGAGCCAAGAAGAGGAGTTAAAGTCTGAAATGAACCAGGATGAAGCTGTAAATGCTTTCATTTGTCAGGTGTTTTGGCTACTGACCCAAGTAGTGGTGCACTATTGTTTTGTTGCACATTATGTTTTCCATAGTGTGCAACCAAAATAACTAATGCCCACACTGTATATGTTGGAAAAACACAAAACTGCAATATTTGCTGACCTCAGTGAAGCATTTCTTTAAGGAGTTTGGAACTTCTCCATCCAGGACCTGGAGGACCGCCTCAATATCCTCTCTGGCAGCATAACCACCAAGATCACTGGCAAACAGGCTAAAGAGGTCTGTGAAAGCACACACACACACACACACATACAGAGCCCAACACAATGTCAGGGGAGGCCAGATTGGCCTTTTTTTGCATAGCAGTAAAAATAACAATGATTAAAACACCAGGATCTGGATGACGCCGTTGGCTTTTATTGTCTACAGCGTGACAACACTGACGCAAATCAATAATTTGACTACAAAGGTTGGAGGATATCAGAAAAATAGGGAAACAAAAGGGAGCATGTGTGTGGATTCAAACTGTAGGGACAGCTGAAAAAAAAACAATAAGATGAGGGAAGTTCGGACAGGGTGTTGTCGTTGTATCTGGGAAGTAAAATGAGCATAGATCAGTACAACTATCTATCTATCTATCTATATCTATCTATCTATCTAATGCAGCACGTCTTGTAACTAAATGCAGTAGAGATCCTTGTTTTTATGTGCTGCAGCTGTGATTCATGCTTTTATTGACACCAATGGGCAGAGGCTCATGGGTAATGTTTAAAGCCATCCGCCAACACAAACTGGCACAAAAACAATTTCTCTGAAACAAAATGTAATTATTTGTAGCCTCAGGGAGAATTGGATCCAAGGGGATTCACCAGGAAGTAAAGTAGAGAGGAAATTTAGTGAGGTTGTTTCGGTCTGCCACCACCAGCAGAATTCTTAATATTTTCATCCAAAGAAAGAATACTTTAACAATAGTGACAGGATGAGTAAAGGCAGTAATTTATCATTAACCAACACCACACCTTAAGTTAAGGAAATAAAAGTACATTTTGTGTCTTTTCCCCTTCTTCCTTTAGTTCTAGAGTGACACTAACAGAAACCCTTTTCTATGTAAATACTTGAATTAACTTTAAATACATTTTAAATGAAATTCTTATGATTGGTTGAAAAATGTAATCTTCATTAGGCAGCACTTAGGTTGTTTTACAAGCATTGCGATTTATTCACCCACTACTGGTAAAATCACTGCACCAAACCTCTGCTGGTGCTTTGTTCATCTCTAGACTTTATGACACATAATTCCTTTTTTATTGCGCAGATATGCACTTATATCCTAGTCACATGTTTTTTTTTTTATATCATAAATCCGTCTGATCACATGACACATGAAAGAACAGATATCAAATGTCAGTAGCTTATATCAGACTTTAAACACATTCAGTTCAACTGTCTTATTTCTTTATCTACAAAACATGGGTTAATCTTAACATAGCAGATATTGGAATATACACTGTTTTTATAAAAGCTTTAAAAAAATGTACACGTACAAAACAACCAAAATAAGTTGTTACACATTGTTTTCCAAAGCCATGATTGAAAAATACACACAAACACAAACAAATACAAACAAACAAATAACTAAAGGATTTACAAACTGAAACAAACAGACAAAAACTACTTACATTTGGCCTTTTCCTCATCACGACCTCTGGTTAGAAGAACCAGACCGATGATCAGATTGTTAAAGTGCAGCCCTTTAGACGAGCCTCCGAATGAGGTATATATAACCTGCAATACACACAGAACACAATATTAATGTAATTATTTTTTAATTTGCATCTATTGAAAATAATAATGATAATACTGAAATAAAAAATGTCAATATCTAAAATATTTTTAATTCAGTGAATTGGTCATGGTTAGGTTCTAAATTCTTGACTATGAGGAATGACTCCCCTTGTCTAAGAGCGTTTTTTCACCCAACACTAATGTTCTGTGAAATTCACTATTTGTTTGCCCGAAGGCGACTTTTGTCTTGTCTCCAGAACATTTCAAAAATAAAAACAAACACACACAAGTAATGTTTGATGTACATGTCTACACAAACAAAGGATTTGAAATACATTAGAATTCATGTATACATTAGTCTGTAAGTACAATAAAGGACAGAGTTCATTCCGTAAGGTCAAAATTTTCATAAGTTCACTGTGGCCTGTAATCTTCACGCCTCCCTGAATCCAAACAGTAGATCTGAGTCAAAGTGAAACTCCACATTGGGTATGTAGGCAAAAAAAAAATGTAAAGTGACCTTTTAACTACGAAATGACGTAATAAAAACCAGTTAAAACCACACACTGAGCTGACACAACAGTTGTCAACTTTTAGAATAAAAATATTTACGTAAAATTGAGAGTTGAAACGTCATGGAAATAAGGTCAAAACATTTCAGGAAAAAGGTTGTGAATTTTAATTTTAACACCATGTGCTTTTCTCTTGTCTCCTCCTCCTCGTAGATTTCTGAGTTTATTCTTATATCATGATGACTTTGTTCTCATAAATTAACAACTTTTTATTGTAACTTTATGACTGTTTTCCTCTTAAAATTCTGACTTATTCTGACTTATTTGACTTCATGATCTTTTTTTTTTATTATTCTCAATGTGGCCCTAACATTCCATTGTGATACTGTACATACTTCAAGATTCCAAAATTGTATTGATTGTGTTTATGAAATTTTCTAGAAACTTAACACAGTCTTCAAATGATACATTTAATCGATTTCGTATTGATTGTGTTTATGAAATATTCTAGAAACTTAACACATTCTTCAAATGATACATTTAATCGATTTCAGGCCCTGTCGTGATACATGTCCTTCACCAAATGGAGGTATGAGGTACAAGTTAACATCAGCTACATTTTCTTCTCGTCCTGTGAGTACAGGCTCTTTTCTTTTTGCGCTGAGCAGCTGTTGTGTTTTGCCTCTTCTTTTTCCTCTGTGTCACTATCACACACACATATCTGAGAAGGATGTGATCTTTACCACGACTCTACAGTACAAGAGGACGACTCTGCAAATCAAACTTTTGCATGCCGTCTCTCAGCAGCTGTCCAGCTATAAGGTTCACCTCTCTGCATTAGTGGCTGATGTTATGACGCAGTTATGACAGTCTTTGCTTTATGAAAACATGGACACAGATGCACATGAAAAGCTATGTCATGATCATGTGACACCTATTCAAGCGTCCTCCGGTGAACTTTTGATGATTTCCATATTCTGGGAACAACCCCAACTGTATGTAAGAAGTGGTCAGAGCCCTGGGCAAATTCTTAGCAAAAAGTAAAACTTGACATTACTTGCCTCTGTGTGTTTTGCCTCTGGCAATGCAGTACCTTGATGCTCCAAATGACAGTAACAGTTTCAAAACTGACTTCAATTGTTAAAGTTGAAACTAATGATTTACATCAGGTTGGACAAGGAAACCTGAACTGTGTTGGTGGGCTGAACCAACAATGACACTGAAATGTTAATACATTGTAATTAGGTTTTTATCAAGTAAAGAATACTTTAATTCACCTCAGGAAACTATTATTATTAAAAACAATTCACTGGTTCAGTTCCTCTGTTTCATCACCTGCATTATTAAAAAGCAAGTCATTTTTAGAACATTGTCACGTTGTACACATAAATTCTAAAATCTCATTTGAAGACACCAATTCACCACAGCGTTACCTAATAATTACTCAGACTGTGACAACAGCAATTTAATTTCATTGTCTAATGAACTAAAGCCTTTTTGGAGTTTCAATTATAACCAAAGACAATAGCTTGGTGATTAGATTTGCTGCAGCTGTGAGAGCCATGTACAGCACCGCCCTTTAGTTAATTCTTACCTCCGCCTGGTGCAGCCCATTAATAACTTATATGGTCAGTAGTGGGGTTTTCCCCCATGACACATTAACTCAAAGCAGCCATTTCAGTCTCTCTTCAATATTTCCCCTTTGTATGTAGCAAAGTCCCAGGGAAGAACACGTCAGCTGTAAAACTTGAATTTCATATGTGTGAACAAACTGCTTAGTTATTTATCACCAGGTGGAAATATATGAGGGAAATGTGAGCCACCCACTGTACTGTATATGACTGTGGCTGTCACATTCAATCCAAATCCAATAAACTGTGCTCTGACTGTGTAACATGTAGTAAGAACTTGATAGGTCGCTACATGTAGTTTTAGATGAGCATCAGCACCTGCTATAATTAGGTATAGTTTCCTATAAAAAAAGTTAACTACTTGTCATTGTGACACATCACACCACTGCACACAACCAAATGTGCCCTCTGCTTTTAACCCATCACCAAAGGGAACAGTGGGCAGCTTTAAGCACCCGGGGAGCAGTGTGTGGGGACGGTGCCATGCTCAGAGCACCTCAGTGGTAACGTGGCAGCTGGTGGACTGAAGCCTTCCAGACCCAAGTATGCTTCCACTAAGCCACCACTGGCTCACAACATTGAGCTAAACCCTATCTGTGCATTTGCATTAACTAAGATAACTCAAGGTTTCAAATACAGAATTAAATGAATGGTGGATTTTGAATTCTGTACATTTCCTAGAAAGGGTTTGCCTTGTTTGCTATGAAGGTGAGTCAGACGTCCTAAGACTGATGTTATAATTTCAAAAGCCTTTTGCTTTTCATCATCTTGTATCTAACCAGGGTTTTCAAACACATTGAAAGCGCAAAATCAGATTTTAACTCACTTTGTTGTTTTCATAAATACATTTTTTTAATAAATAAGTGGTCTTAGAGCTTTTGGACTTGTTAGATCTAACTGGCACACCTAACTTGACATGGACTTAATGCATGGCCCTCATTTTCTCTTGTTTTAATTGCAATTGCAAATGTGTGGTTTTTTTGGTCATTAATGGGGTCATCATGGTAGCAGTTACCCTTTTGTGCTAGTGTGAGGCAGTCAGTGTTGACATTCTGGTGGGGGCCACAAAACATTACTCAATGTATAGGAAACTGTTATACTACACACATTTACATCACATACTTTAGCAGGTGTGCATGAGAGGACACATCACCTTTTACATAAGATTGGTTGAATCAACAGGACTTTTGCCTCAAAGCGCTGCCTTCAAGTTGACTGTACTGTAACTCTGTATGTGGCATCACATCAACTCACCTCTGCAACTTTTGGGGGAACTCCATCTCCTAGCACTTCCCGGTAGAAGCACTGCTGGGTCATGTAACAGGAGAGGCCACTTGTTCTCTTGAAGGCATCCTTCAGCCGTTTCAACTCCACATCAGTCACTGCACAGGTGAGACCATCAGAAGAGAAACTGTTAGAGCATCCTGACAAAAATTAATTCACTTTGATGGTGTTCTTGTACAAGTTGTCAATTTTAATCCCATGAAATGTTGTACTATTACAATTTGAAAACACCGGGATGAAAACTGGAACACAGCATTAAAATAATTCCACCCCAGTTCTTTAACCTAAAAAAGAAAATATTTCTCCTGCCTTTTTCAGACATACATTTGAGGCCGACTTTTGCTGATGTTTCCAGTGCATAAACAAATCTCTATGAGGAGTCGGATTATTGTAACCAAAAGGTTCCTGCTGCTCCCTCTAGATAGTTAGGGGCCGACAGCTTTGCTACTCTTTTTTAGGTCAACTTTTGTCTACAACAGTCGCAGTCTGTAAAAAGTTACACTGGCACATGGACACAGACTGATGGACACACTGTTTTTGTGTTCTGTGAGCACTTCACACCACTGCTAAATGCAGCTAAAGTAATTTTATCCAAAATGTCTTCCCAACTATAACTATACAGGAAACACCTACACATCCACTCAGAGACTTACAATACCCTGTGGTTAAAAATACGTAGTCAGACAAGTGGTCTGACTTTTTCAAAGTCATATCATATTACAATGACTTTCACTCTGGAATTCATCTGGCATCAAGTGTGTTGATTATCTAAGGTGCTACGACCGGTCATAAAAGCCCAGCTCATACATAATTCTGATGAAGACGGCCCACAAGCAGATTAACACAAGAGCAGCTAATGCTGATATAGCTGCTGACACAGCAATAGAGATGATTTAATGAGAATGAATTAGTTATTTGCAGCCAGAAAATATAAAATAACTCATTAAAAATAGAAAGAACCAAATTAAGAGCATACTTTTCAAGTAAGGCAGGGCCAGGCAGTTCTGAGGGGGATTGATGCTGCAGGAAAGTTGTTTTAAATTCCATTTGTGTTTATTTTCCTTAAAATGCTGAAGTGAAGCAACATAATTTTGATGCAGTATGTATGACATGTTCTCCGTGACTCCCAATGGTCCAGTTACTTAGAATCAATCCCATTTACCAAATCCATATCAGACACATTCGGTTCATGATTGCATGTGTGCTTAGATGATCGCTTTTTTGTTTAGTCGATCATTTCTTTTTAAACTCCATCACCAATCACAGCTACCTCATTTATTCTCACACTTGAAAAATGTCCACGTCTTACTGCAGATTAAAGTCACACGGCTGTAACGCTGAGGTCATTTACTAACAGAGCAGCAATGCTACATAAAGACTAACTTGTTGTGATAAGTTGGACCAACAGGCGAGGAAACAAAGCATACCATGTGATGAAGAACACACGGTGTATTGTACCACTGCGATGATCTTGGGTGGACACTGGGCTGCATGAATTGCACTGGTTATCATTGGATCCACAGTAAACAAAGGCTTTGATTTCTGCTGCCTCCACCCCCCCACCCCACCCCACACACACTCTCTCTCTTTCGCTCAGGCCACACACATGCACAAATCCTCTTTAGCTGTTTCTGTCTCTGACAATCGAAACACCCATGCAGTGGGTTGTTACGTCTACTTCAATAAACCAACTCAACTCTGTTGTGACTCAATATTTGCCATCATTTGAAGTACTGTAAGGCAAGCGGTGCCTGCCCGCTGCTTTGATCAGCAAAATGGGAAACTCCCGGCCAGAGACAGCCGAGGCTATTGCAGCGAAAGCAGCCTGCAAACACTCAATCCTCATGAGCTTTGGTGACCTTTAGTCATGATGAACCACAAACAAAAACACCTGCAGGTGGCACAGGCAAATGAAATCCTGCAGACAAGCAAAATCCTGCATACAAAGAAATCTGGTACTTAAAGTTCTAGGGAAACAGTTCTAAGCCATGTTGTATGATATTGGTTCTGTTGCTGTCTGTCCCATAATAAAGCTGTTCGTTAAAAACAAATTTTCTTTTAAATCTGCAAAACATCTAGGAACTAAAATTGACCCTTAGCATTTTTTAATCTGACAAAAGAATACCTGAAACACAAACATTTTTTCACTTTTCACAACTCAAAAACGTAAGAGATAATATAAATTCTCCAACTGGGTTCAACAAATCACCAGGTGAATTACCAATCCACAGATTATAGTTTGATGGTATTTTTGGGACCTGTGGCTCCTTTTGTTGAAACAGGGATTTGTAGAATCACCTCAGTGAACGTGTTACATCAAAGTGTTTATGAACAGGTGTAAAACAAAATATGGAAATAATGGTGGCTCAGCTCAGGTTTCAAGGTCAGGGATATGGTCAGACTGGCTGAACTTCATGTCTAGACCACATGGGTGAGATGCCTTGAGCAGCTGTCACTGGTTCGATATCCTGCTTGGATTGACTCTTATTGTATGACTGCCCTTGCTCTCTTACCTGTCTTTTTTTCTTCTTTCTGTATATACAAGTTAAATATATTTGGCCTCCAATGACAAGTCAATAAAAGCACAAGTAATTAATTAATTACTTAAAGAATACATAAATTTAAGCACATCATGCTAGACTATTTTTAATTGTGTGGGGACTATGAATTAAGACATTTATTAATGTTATCATCATTTTTAGAGAGAATTATGAGGTTTAAGGAAAACCATCGATCCAGTACAGCACACACGCAGCTGTGGGGGATACTATTATGTCCTCATCAAAAGAGGATTTTAAATGTGTGAAAAAAATTACAGTTAAAAGGGGAGCGTAATAATGACAAAAATTCATTTATCCGAGTTCCATCGATCCCATTTCATAACTGTAAATGGCTGTAATTTATTCATAACATTTTGCATGTTTTCTGTCTGAACGCACAACAAAGACGTCGCCAGCCTGTGTTGACAGTGAGCAATAAATGCAGTCTGTTTGTATTTGCTGCAGGAAGCAGGAGCATATCAATGCCAATGGGTAGAATGCTGTTGAAACCGTGGCACGTCAAAGTTGAGAAACTCATGTAGACTTTAAATGTTATATCGATTCAGCTAAGGAACCCGACGCAACCCCAACACTAACCTGTCAGTGTGTTCACACTGGGAGCCACTGTGGAACAGTTTACAAATGCAATACCACATAACGCAACAACAAGGTAAGAATACTGAGCAGCAGTCTGTCACCAAGGCCTGATGAGGTCAGACAGTGTCAACAATAATCACAAGCGATGCCTTCTAGGAAATGAAGGCCGGACAGATACATAAGGTCATGTGACTACAAGGCTGAACAGCATGGTGGTTTGATTACAGAACTAACTATTGGAAAATAAATAGAAAAAAGAGAACTGGACTGGAGCCAAGTATTTTACTTGGAACATTAAGAACAGACAGGGGAACAGAGAGAGGAAATAAAACACATTTTGCAAATACTATTTCCAGCTGAAATGTTACTGCTGTTGTGAAAAACTGATTTGGGTTTTTTTCAGGGGAAGATATGAAAAAGACCATTACAAGTATTATCAACAATAGGCACAATAGCCAGCATGTGTAATGTAAGGTCTGCAGCTGTAGCCACGATGAATAGAAGTTTCATATATATATACTGTAATTTTATAGACATGCTCCCAGCCAGAACAGTTCATCCTGAGGTCATGGATTTTTTCAGCAAGACTGGCTGAGACCTGAAAGTAGAACAGATATACTGACGCTTGAGGCACATCAAAATAATTTGGAAGAAGTGATAGACACTCCATAGGCTCTTTTATACAACAAGAAATACAGTATATTGTTATTGCAATAACTAGCATTAATATCCTACAGCACTGTATCTTTTTTATTAATAATTAACATGCAAATATTAAATACTGTCAAAAAGTAGCAAAAAAAAAAAACAGAATCATGAGAAAATGTTGAAAAGTTCTCAGCAGCACATGAACACCAATAATTACTTTTCCAGAATTCCCACTGGGGTGATTCACACTTCTGACAAGGTCAGACAGGAGCTGAGATTGGGCTTTATCAGGTGTTACACGTCGCAGTGATATACAGTCACTGCAGTGTCTGCAAGACTTTATCACCCGCAGTGTTGAATGCCTTCTAGAGCTGGAGATTACTTTCAACTTTAGCATCGACCATACTCAACATGACAGCCACACAATCCTTCTGGATAATTTCACAACAACAACAGGATTATTTTCAACTTGTACACAACTAATGCTGTTCTCCAGTAAAGAAGTCCTGAATCATTATGAATCACATAAACTCTGGACTTTACTCTAAACAACTGAAAAAGGTTTAGATCTGTAAGCAGTTCCTTTTTCTACATTTCTGTGCAGCAAAAACAATGAGTTATTTTTTGTTTTGTGAAAATATTTTTGTACTAGTTAAAATTTATGTAAAGTCAGAACACTACAAACCGAGACTACATGCTAATGAAAAAATTCACCAAAGCAAGAGCAAGCTGCCACAATAACTGACCTGTATTCTCTACAAAGTGAATTAGGATTGCTTCCACGTGACTGCAACAAACTATTGGTGACGATCAATAAATCCCAGTGAGTGCAAAAAAAATATTATCTTTACTCTGGTATGACTACATCAATGGGGAGGGGCTGTGGTGGGGTGTTAACAGTTTGAATAACGATCAAGATTAATTTTAATTAGTAAGTTGTTTGAAAAAAAGCTACAAATCAGATTTGTGCTGAATGCATTTATAATGGAAGAAGTTAAGCGTAACATTAACTTCCATTAACTTAAATGTCATGATAGAAGTTGAAGAGGGCTATAAACTAAGTACTCTGTCAAATTATTAATTAACTGACCACTCTTTGTTCAAGAACAGACTCAAAACAGTTTCACTCACAAGCCTGAGATATATCTAAATTAATGTAGGCAGCATCTATGCTAACTCTGTCACTGTGCTTTGTTCTGCTGCTCTGGTACATAAAATACCATACTGCAAACCGCCAGCAATGGTAATAGAACGAAATTTGTATATAGATTAAGTATTTATTGTATCACAAAATGCAAAACTTCTGTGAATGATGGGCTCTGTGCAAAAGACCTTACATGTCTAATTAAAACTTAATTTCACTGCAGTCAGAATACCAATGAGCCCAAAGTAAACATGAACCCATAATCATTAAGCTCAATGCAGGGAACTTGACATGTTCACTTCCTTATACTAATCATACAGTGTCATAGATAAATGTGTAACAACCTTTCATAACTGGCAATCCACACTCAAGGTCAGATTCTGCCTACCCAGGGAGTAAAGTGCAAGTGGTGACACATTAGGTACAAGAGCTATTCACCCAATAGCAAATTGATAAATGTGCACTTTTCACTCTGTATACATTTAATGCACACTCACTGTGTTTGTGCACCAAGTAAAGTAGAGCTTTAACGGGGATTTGTACTGTGCTTCTTCCTGAGTCATGTCCTTATGGGAGCTGATGTGACAGCAAAATATTGTTGTAGCTGCACCTGTATAACTGTGTGTGTGTGTGTGTCCAGGCCTCAAGACTCTGCTTAGGGCCAAACAAGTCCACGAGCAGCAGCGGCTGCGTCAGCTACAGTGTCAACGGCTGAATGTAGCAGCAGCAATGCAAAGCAACATCTATTTGTTTTTCCTCTAAAACCTATCTAATCTAAAGCTTACAGAGTATGGTATACATTTGCATAACCAACATAGAACGAGGATATGGTCGAGACACCAAACATCAGTATTTGCCTAAACCACGGAAAATACAACAAGTAGTCTGGAGGCATAAACCCCTGGCAACTGAGCAGTAGTGACTGAGGCAGCTAACAGGCAGAGCTAACGGCGACTCACAATGTAACGTTAACTAAGCTTGGATGATTTAAAACCTAAACAACCCAGAGAGGTGTTCGCCAAACTAAAGTTTCGACATTTTCAAAGCTCATTTATCAACTGTCTTGATAAAATATCGTACAGTCAGTTTTTATTTGCATCATACGAAGGCTCTAGCAGGTGTGCAGTCAGTCAGACCAAACACCGGCCAAAAATATGTCAATTTAACTTGTCATTGGTAATCAAAAACAAAACGGATACATACAATGTTAGTTAGAACAATATCGTAATTTCTATAAAGACATTTTCGCTACTGCATATTGGTGGCCAAATAATACTACTTTCTTGATTATATTTCGTTGTAATTACGAGGAAATGCTTCGAGATGCTCTATAGTGTTTGGCAGTTTGATGCAAAGACGACAGCTAAAAATACTGAATTTACTTGTGATAACCTTCATTTGTGGATGTATTTGAAACATTTCTCCCAGCCGAAGTACACATTAGTCACACGTGATGATATGAAAGCAACGAGTCTGGATTTTAACAGGGCTACTTTGTACAGTGGCGAAATACCCTTAAATCGCTAGATGGTAAAGCGTGGTTCGGGACGTACGGGGAGCCGCTCATCAACAGCAGACTGGCCTGGTTGCAGACAGACCGCTAAGCTAACTCGGCTCAGTTGGATTTAGTCACTCGTTTCGGGCTTACCTCTCTTGACGGCCTCGTCATACGACAGGAATCCTATCCTCGACTCTTTGGCCCCCATGCTCCCCTCATTTCACTACAGTGTGAGGAGTTAAATGCTAGCAGCTGACTTGGCCTGGTACGTGAGTCGCCTTATCCATTTGTTGTGAAATAGGTTTCCTGGTGCTGCGCTTATGTGTATGTGTGTGTGGTGAACGGGTGAATGTTTTCAGTAACGCCTCTATTCTGTCACATGATCGAACGCTACAGGTCAGTTGATCAGTTCCTTCACGTGCCTTCTAAAACAACAATGGAGAACACCACACGAATCCTCAACCTTTCCTTTTTTTTTTTTTAATTTACTATTAAAACAATTTGGTCTTAATGCGCAATCGCTAAGCCCATGTCGTGTGTGTCTGTGAGGAGTGTAAACTAAATAAGTTAGTGTCGCCATCTTGTGGTCAGTCTGAAAACAACTTTGTAAAACACAATACATCTGTTTCCCCGTTTCCAATTTTAAGGATTATGCTGCAGGAATTCATTTTGATAAAGAGTATTGATTTTAGTTTAGAATAATTGTATTTTAACTCTTTAATTCGAATTTAAAATGTCTGACCTATATAAACACATGTTTCACAAGAAAGTGTATATTTGCCTCCCTTTAAAACTTTTAGTTTAATGATTGACTCTGCTATCTACTGTATAGAAATATAAACACACAGAACGCCTTGTCCATGGTGGTGTGAACAATCTTTAGCTACAAGGTTGACAGTGCTATCTTACTGTACGGGGACGCCTACTCTGCAGTGGTAAGAACCACTGTCCATTTTAAGACTGACAATGCCATCTACTGTATAAATAACGTACTACAAAGACACTGTTCGCCTTTTTAGGGTGATGTGACGACGATGGGAAGCGCCGCATGTCACGTCACATCGGTTGTTGCCGAGGCCGTTCATCGATATCACATGAGCGCTTGATGGACTCTAATGGATTAAGGTGTTTATTTTACAGAAGACACATAGGTTGCATCAGTTTTTGTGTTTTGTTTTCTCCCTGGAATGAAACCGCAGGTGACGGAAGTGAACGGACATGGGACTTGACGTTTTGTTGTACTGGCCAAATATTATTGGTGCGAAAAAAACTGCTGTTTTAAATTTAAAACGTGTTTGTTGTTCATAATATTTTAATACAATTTAAAGAAAAGCAAACAATATTAAGTTTGAGGTTTAACTTTATTGATCCAGCACTGGTAAAATTATTGAGAGTATGTATTATTGTTACTATTGTTGTTAACTTTTTACCACATAAAATACTAGTGTAAATGAACGTCTCGGGTGACCTCATTAAATGCTTATATGTTTTTTTCTCTTTCAGGATACATTAGGTTTCTACTAGTGTTTGCAGCATGGGGAACATATGATACACCAGCACTATTTGTCCTTATCTACTTAGTCTTCATTGTACTTGATGGTAAGTTCACTGGTTTCCAATGTGTGGGTTGTGGCCAGAAGCGGTACTCCATCACGTCATGTAAATGTAAAGGTTACAACTGTGTGTTGTTGATGTTGCTGAGAGCAGGAACTGTTATGGTGTTAGTTCCACTTTGTCACAATGATGTCCACTCTCTCTGCAGGAGTGGACGGGTGGTTGGCGAGGCGGCTGGGCCAGACCTCCAAATTTGGGGCCTGGTTGGACGTAGTGGTGGACAACCTGGGCAGAGGAATGCTGTGGGGGCAGCTCTTCAAGGTTGGGTGGCTGCACATCATTCAGCATGTAACCAAAATCAGAAAGGCTTTATATAAAGTGGGGAGATTGGATTTTGTTACAGTTACAGTCAGTTAGCCAGCAGGATAAGACGTGAGTAACACACTTGTCAAGGATAACACACAACTTGAACACGACTGTGAGGCAGGGTTGTCACAAGTTAGCTTTCCTGATTTTATTTTATTTATTTATTTTTTTTGGTGGGGTAACTTGAGGTTCAAAAACTCTTCCTTTCCCCCATCCCAAAACAGAAATAATTTTTAAATGAATACTTCTAATGACACGATGATAAGCACAAAATACCAATAAAAACATACTTTTTAAATTTTTTTTTACCATAATGTGTTGGTGGAACTGATTTAATTTAATAGTTAATAGTTATTTATGTTTACATTTACATTCAGTGTTTGTAAATCATGCTCAGATTCCTGTGTGTTGTGTTACAGTGGGGTTGGCTGGTGTCTGCAGTGGAATGGTGTGTGTTTGTGTGTAACCACAGTTCCAGAGGTGACCACTGGAAAAGCAGCTTTACCAGCAGCCCTCCACTCATACAGGCCATCATGGCAAATGGTAAGAGTTTAAACACTCGATCAGTTTAACTTCCTGCTGCACACACATTCACCTAATCATGTTCCTCATGCTCCTTATTCACACTTGGCTTTTAAAGAAAGCACCTTTATGTTGCTTTTAGATTCACTCCTGTGATGAGACCAGGATGGACAAATCCACTTTATCAAGTCTAAAGACTGTGAAATGTTGTATCACAGCTGCACAGAATCAGTGACTAACAAAATTTTAGTGAAAAGTTCACTTCATGTTCCAAAGAGCCTTGAAGTTATATGAAGTTCAGTAGACGTTTAAAGTGATAGCTATCAATTGAAAGGGGGTAGGAGGGTTGCAGAAAATTTTGTGGAACCACTGATGTAGTAGCCCAAGTTGGATGACAAATATTCTAAATTTTTCTTTATGTGCTTAGGCTTTCGATCAGCCCTGGGCCTGTGGGTGGTGAGTGGGCTGCACTGCCTCCCTCTGTGGCTGTATCTCTCCCACAGGGGTTTACTTTCTCACTGGTTGTATCTGCCTGTCTGGATCCAGGCCGTGGGGATTGTGCTGCTGGTCGCAGGGCGACTCCTGGCCTTGTTGGTGGAGGTAGGAACCCTGGCCTCCTACATCTTCTCCTGTACCTGTGAAGATCCTTCACTTTAACAGGTTTCCTCTTCTTTACAGATGTGGTGTATATGGATACATGTGAAACATCTATGCAGTGAAGAATCAGAAAAGAAGAAGTGAACATCTGCAGATGAAAAACTCAAAACTTTCACTTTTAAGTTAATCAATATTATGCAGGAATTACTTTATAAATCACCGCCTTTCAAGACTAATAGTAATAAACAGGCTCCTGGATAAAATGGTTTCAACTCAGAGGCAGCTTGAATAAATACAGTACAGACTGTGAGTGGCATTCAGTTTTTACCCATATTACAAGTTTATTCTTTGCTGTTTACTTATAATGAACATTTGTCTGGCTAAGTTTCCTTGATTTCTCAAATGTGAAAAGATTGAATGCATTAAAATAAGTGACAAAATCCTGTTTGTGTTTAAGGATACAATAGAAGTTTTAATGTTTTTTTTTCTTGCAGCTAACAGTGAAGCAGTAACAAGACAACAGTGAAACATTCCCTCATCACATTTGGTGTCACTCACCTCTTCAGAACTCTTAAAAAAAATCACAGCTTCATTGAACATTTTTAAAAACTTAACTGAGTTGACCTTCGTCTCCTTCCTGCCCTCGTACAATTTTATTTCCTTTCAAATGATCAGACGAGTGTGTGCCTACATTCCACCAGTCAGCTACCGTATGATGGCGAGGTAAAGGAAAGACCCCCTTAAAACATTCAAACATTAGTAGTTTTTAACCAGTTAGCTGTCAGTAAAACAAGCGTGTGGGAAATCAGTGGAAACTGAGTATACGGCAGACAGATATTAACCAAGAAATCTGTAGCCATTGAGCTGGAAACAAACTGTGATTAAAGAACAGAAAGTAATACAGGTGTGGGAGATTCGATGTTTAAGCCATAGCTTCAACAAAATCAACAGCGTGCTCTGTTCATGAGGATTAATGTCATGCTTTTAATCTTGACTTTTTCCTCCATCACTGACGATAAGGGTGCTGCCGGAACAGGGGTTTTGCTGCTTTGTGAAGACACAGCACCAGGAGTGGAACTGAGCAGAGGCTCAGGTAGCCACTATAAACACTTGACTTCTATTAGCACCATCAAGAGAAGCTTCATGATCTTCATTCATTAGGTTATATGTCATTCAAACAGAGGGATTCTTTGCATCAGATTCTCATTTATGTGGTCCATGGTATTGTCCGAGTCTTCTGGCTGGACTCTGGTGACCAGGGGTCAAAATCTCAACTGCTGTTTTTACAAACATTAACATTGTAACATTGTCCTCATCAGTCACATTGTGTTAGTTTCACCTGTGTCTATTCTGTATAATATTTTGGACATTTACAGCTGGTTATTAAACTTAAGGTAACCAAAAACGTTAAAGTATATATATATATATTTTTTAAATGATAGTTTATTCACATCACCTTTATCCCACTAATATAATTTATCTGCCCTAGATTCCCTTTTTTAAATTAAAATTTTGCATTTCTGGGTCAAAAAAAAAAAAAGATTTGAAGTTGGCCAGCACTGTTCTTACAGGCTTTTAGCCAGAAATACCAACATAAGCTAAGGCTTTCCTGAAGTAACTTAAAAGTATCATAAACCTGACGAGAAAATGAAAAACACAAAAATATCTCGATGCTGTCCTGCTGTTTGTTCAGTTGTAGCAATTTCTGGACACTATTTACTGCTTAAATCTTGCCTGAATTTGCCCCTTCATCTAACTTTTCTTTTGCAATATTGCCACCTTTCTTTTTGCCAATTGCAATCCCAATCACTTTGACTTTAAGTCTGTAGTTTTACCACTAAATTTGTGTTTGATAAGTGAAAAAAAGGAGAGTCAAGAACCGGGATAGAAGATGTACATTCAGTCAGTTACTGACTGACACCTGGTTGAAATCCATGGGGTCTTAAAGCAATGCAGATGCAACAAATGTTTAAATGATCTTTACATTCTTGTGTACCCCCCCCCCCTCTCCCCCACATCATACTGCCGATGCTTAAACAGAATGACACTGGTGGACACATGGTTAAAGAAGCATCAAGGCAGACCCAACAGGTGTGAACACTGACGTGATGACTTGACGAGTGCACCGATCCTTTACATTTGTTTTGACCGATTAACAAACACAAAATCAAACTGTCCTTCAGACAAAACAGCAGATGAGATCCTGAACAGCATCATCACAAATTGGTGTTTGAAGTGATCAGTGATGGTTTGAATTGATAGGCCCACTTACAGAAAAGAGGAAAAGTCTTGAGTACAACAGCACACACGCAGGCACACACACACACACACTCGAACACATTTGGTCCCCATTGCAGTGCCCTAAAGGTATTCGTTAATTTAGCACTTAAAGTATGGGTCTGCCAACAGACAGATATACGCAAGCTGGTGTTAAGGCTGGGAGTCATCAGAGAACAACCTGGGCACGCAGAGATCCACACACAAACACACACACATTCAGACACTCCTTTGATTCACCAGATAAAGGTCTTTCTCTTTTCACTCCCCGTCTTGTCCCTTATTGTGAAAGTCTGGGCGCCTGACTGTTGCTTCACAGATTGCAACTCACTTCTCAGGAAAAAAGCAAAGACAAAAGGCTACGTAAACATACATGTCTGCATACAAGTTATTGGCATTAGTGCTAAATCTGTAATTTTTTTCCAGAACTAAAGTGGAAAATATTAAATAAAATGAAAAACAAAAACCTGTGAAGCCCGTAACATGTGTGTAACAACACTGCTTTAACACATTCCACCATATAATCTCTTCTTCATCTAGTTTAATTGAAATAGAGGGCATCCTTCTGCAGTCCACTTTCATCTTCTCATAAAGAAACTAACAATGAAAAGCCTTCGGTTGAAATGTAAATATACAATCAGATCTGTTCAATTTTCAAAAATATTCAACATGTGTGATTTGCAGGGGGATGACGCAGTGTGATGTTCACTCTCCCGGAAAAAGCAGTTGGAACCTGTGATAATCTTTTTTTTTTTTTAAATGGTAAGAGCAACACTGGCTCAGATACAAAAAACAAAACACATCATCAGGTTCCAAACTCATAAAGAAAAAGGCAAGCGAGACTCAGTGACGAGAGGACAGGAGAGGAGAAGTCGTTTGTCATCCTCACAGGATGTCTGAGGTCTTGGTTCTATTTTATTACTCTTCCTCCTCCTACTCAGCTGTTATTCTTCTTCTCTTGGAAAAAATGCTGTCGTCTGCTCTGTGGAGTGAAGCTGCGTTTCACTGGTTCATGTGGTTGGTGATGAGGTTTAAGATTCTTTCTTTTCTACTAATAATCAATGACTAAATGTGCATGTTGTGTACACACTGGCAGCTGCAGTCGCCTGTGTGAGCAGACTCACATGCCAGTGAGGCTCTAACTGACTGTGAGTCACTAGATAACTGTGTGCCACTGAAGCAACACATTTGGGGTTTTGCTTGTGTCCTCACCAGGCCTGAACACAATGTCTGTTTCTTTTTTTAACTTCCTTCCTCTCATGACCCGCAACATCAGCCCAGACAGGGGCGAGTGGGTCCCATGCTTTGAGCCAATAAAAAAGCTTGAACCACTTCCTGTGTTTGCTGGGGCGTGGTGTTGACGTCCTCTAGAGCATCTGCCACAGCAAACTGACGGTCCCTCAGCCGATTCCAGTTGGAGAGCACGTTGTGATACTCAAACACCTTGTCGTAATTTCCTACTGAGTTGTAGAGTTTGATGAGGCCTCTGTAGTCGTACTCCAGCCCACTGTACCCCTCTCCAAAGAGCTTCTTACCTGGGAGAAAAAAGCTAATGTTACACATGACGTAAAGGAGTTTAACTGCACCTTACGGCTAATGAAGCTGCTAATTGCAAGTCTTTACAAGGAAATTTTCTGAGGTTCTAGTGACCTCTGTTGACCAATTTCTTACCACATATCAGTGGCAAATCCAAAAAAAAAAAAAAATCAAAAACAACCCAGTTACTGACCAATAGCGATGGAGCGCAGGTAGAGCCTCTCAGCGTCTTCATACTGGTTCATGTCATAATTGTAGAGCGACGCCAGGTGACCCACAGACAGAGCAACCTCATAGTCCTCGTGACCCAGAAGCTGTTCCTTGATCTGGATGGCTTTGATGTGCATCTCTTCTGCTTCCTGGGTAAATGTTCCCAGACAAACACACACCGTAGGCAGAGATTGTATTAAATACTCAAACACATAAACAGTAAAAGGTTAAATGTAGAAACACACTCATTTAGTGATTTCTTTCTGCTCATGTCCCTTCATTGTTCATAATCAAAACCAAATTCATACCATCCATGTGCAGACAAACCTTGAACTTCCTCATGGACTGATAGAGTCTTCCTAAGTTGCCGTAGTGTTTGGCTGTCTGGACGTTAAACTCTCCAAAAGCTTTCTTGGCCAGCTGAAGCGAAGAGAGGTGCAGATCATGAGCTTCCTGCAGGAGGCGCTCTTCTGTTTCTTTGTTATGGCAGTCAATGGCAATTTCTTCCAGGATCAGGGCTGGGAGGGTGAAACAAAGAGAGGTGAATTTAACCACACTAGGTTAGCCTTTGTCCTTCTGTTTTATTTTAAAAACTTTCTCCACTGTAGTATTTCACAGACACTTGACTCAATGACGTTTTCTTGAGATAATGAAACCTGTTCACTTGAAAACGTCCTTGATGGACATCTCAAGGTATTCTCTGTGTAACATCTGCCTCACTCTCAAGTTTAAAAAGCCCAGTAATGAGTCAGTGAACATGAATAAGCTAGGTCAACTTCCTACACTCTGAGAGATATGGGAGGGGCTCAAAGCACAACAGTTGTTTCTTTGGATTGACAGGATTGGATTCAGACATTTGGGTCAAAATGCCTCCAAGGCGCCTCCCTTGGGAGGTGTTTCAGGAAAGCCCATCAGGGAGGAGGTCCTGGGGCAGACATATGATAGGCTGAACAGATTGTATTCAGCAGCCTGCTTAGAAACACCCGAGTTTCCAGCCAGATAAGTGGCAAAGTGCCAAAAGATGTCTTACCCTTGACTCTCTTGGAGGAGGCCAGTAGTAAATGGTCCTCGGGCAGAATGTGAGTGATGATGTCTATGGCACGTTCTGCGTGGAATCTGGGAAACAAAGAAGACAGCATGTTTCCAGCTGATAAGGCGTGTCACCACCAAAGCGGAAGACATAATTAACTTATACTACATAAAGAAGTCAGCAGTCGACATAAACAAACATGAGAACTTTTTAGAATTCAGACAAAAAAAATGCTTAAAAAAGATCCAGGAATGTATTCTTTTAAATAGTTAATTAAAGTAATGTCGAAGGTATAACTGTCCAGTGTCCTTTTTAAATGTATTAAATGGCAAAGATCCGCATTTGCACCAACAACACATTACTGCAGTATGTAACACAGCAGATCATGACAGTGTGAGTCATTGTCATGTGCTTCATCTACAGGCTTATGTCCAATGCAATTAGCTTGTCTTCCCACCGAGTGTCAAAGATGCATCACACTCACAGAGCATTGTCAAATTTCCCAGAGCTGTACTGGTGCACGTATGACGAGTAGGCCAGGTCTTCATGGGCCGTGGCGACGTGGATATTCTTCCCCCCGAACACTGACTGCCGAATGTCCAACGCTGTCTGCAATAAATAGAGAGAGATCAGACAAGTACTTGAGCCAAGTATTATTTCAAGTATGTATCAGTTTTTGGGAAAGTCCTCAAAACATCATATAGCATGTGCAACCAGAGTGGAGTTTAATTATTCTATTAGTTGTTTTGGAGCCCACACTACAGATTAAGCATATGGTTAATGCGTTTCTGCTGGCATATAACCAGACTGGCTTTCTGCTAACTCAGTGGGATTAGGGGCGTATGACAGACAGTTCTTATCCAAAAACTACATCTCTACGGTAAAAACAAAAGAATACTTCTTACCTGGTAAATAGCCACTGATTGGCATATATTGTCAACATTTAATAAGTAAAATCCATAGTCTAGCAGCGTGTCAGAGTACTTGGGATGCTTGTGTCCAAAATGTTCTCTAAGGAAAGAAGCACAAAACAAAATTACAATCCAAGATAAAAAAGTATTTATATAAACGATAATTGGACACAGTGGGTTACCTGGCTAGGAACACTGCATGTTTGATCAGCTGTTCTGCTTTTCTAAACTCTCTCTTTACCACGCAGGCCTGCAGCAAAGATTCAAGGTTAAACTTCACAAAGACACAGCTCATTTTATTAATAATCTGCTGTGGTGCAGACACAGACTGAGCAGTTGTTTGATGCCAGCTTTGTCTGAGGTAAAAAAAAAAAAAGAAGAAAAATCTCTCACAATCTGAACATTACCTTGGAGGCTTGTCGAAGGACATCAACCACTACTTTAACAGGCAGCCCTGGAGTTATCTCCTTCATAGCCTCTATGCACCACCTGTAGGCCTGAAGACAAGGAGGATTAAGAAATCAAATGAACATCATTGCCTGCAACATGATAAGATGAAAACCAAACTTAAGCATCATTATTATGTAAATATTAAGTAAGTGCTTACCAATCATGCACCTTTATAGAAATATGAATTACCTCGTCATAGTGGCTTTTGGCGAAGAGCAAGGCACAAAGCTCGCCATACAGTGCTGCCTTATTGGCATGGTGGCCATGTTTGGCTAGTTTGTCCATGTACGACTGAGCGAGTTTGAAGGTTTCCTCTCCCAGGTGGTACTTGCAGTTCCCATTTCGAACATGGAGCAGCCTATAAAGACAAAATAGAGTTCTCTAACAGCATGAGAAAGACAAAACAGAAGAAATCTCTCTGATTTAGTCTCATTTTATATTTGTGGTAACTTTCACTATCACTTCACAGACAGACAGTATGTATATACAGTGATATTTAAGAAGAGGTAGGTTCTCAACCAGAGAAGCGCCTAATCAGCTCAATTAAACACTGAATGTTTGTACCTCCTACAACCCCACTTTGAAAGCCTCACAATATGCCTTTAACATGAACAAACATGAAATAACATGTATCATTCAGTTAAAAAAAAGAACACATTTATTATGTTCCATTATATCTGTCATTTACTCAGTAATCAATAAACAGGTGTAAACACACCTCAAAGACAAAATTGTTTGGTTTTTCATGTACTTAAATGTAAAAACATACTAAAACAGACAGAATCCTTCCTGTTTTGACTGAAAATAGAAATAACCTCATAATGACTTTTTTGTGACTGACCTGACACAGCACTCTACAGCACGGTAACAGTGGATGACCTCACTATGGAGGGTGCAGAGCTGCAGGCACGAGAGAAACACTTTCTCTGCGTCCCCATACCAGCCGGCGTCAGACAGAAATCCACCTGTGAATCAGAGGATGTACCATTTATACTTAAAAATATTAGCACTGGCTTTTTCACTTCATTACTGGGGCTGGGAATCAATACACTATTCATTTAAACAGTAGGTATATTTGCTTTAAAAATGTGTCAGTGGTTTGAAGTCATAAACTCATGTTTCATCCATTTACATTGAAGTGAAACTTGACATTCTGTATTACAGGTATTAAAAAAAAATTAACACAGACATTGTACAAAGCTGTGCATTAAATCCATCAGTGGCATGGAAGATTGATGAAATTTGTTGATGAATATCCAGAAAGGACTAAAAATTCAGGTAATGCAACTTTTGCATGCTCATACTCCTTCATAAGAATAAGACTGTGGGATTAGAAAACTTGTTTTTTTTCTTGTTGGCTGTATTTGTACGAACTCCAAGATGTTTTCATAACTTGTTTGAACTACAGTTTGAAGCTGTCATTAGAGCTTACAGACAGTGTTGAACTGAAAAATTCAAATACTCCTCTGTATTTGGCTTATACTTAGTTCTTTTATTAAGAACAATCAGAGGTTGTACATTGACCAATCTTCTTCTCCTGCACATTAACATGAAATATTCTGCAGAGACACCCACAACTGACTGTACTGTAGAACATCTCACACAGGATCCACTGTTGGCTGGTAAAAAAAGTTACTTTTCTTTTTGGTGTCTTCACCACTGGCCACTCTGCCTCTTTTACACCCCATCACTTACCTAGCACAAAGCCAAACTGGATGGCTTTCTCTTTGACATGGGCATCAGACTCTGCAATGTAGGAACAGCGTCGGCTGAAGGAGTTTGCCAGAACTGAAGCCACTTTCACTCCGTGGTCCATCAGCGCCTGGAAACAGTGGTGCAGCAGATGTCTGCAGCAGGAGGATACAGGTGATTAGTAAATGTCACCTGATGAAGAATTTGTTAGTGGTCAATAGTGCAGCAACGATGCTCACAGTAATGTACTTGAATATTTACCTTGAAAAACTGAACCGAACAACTTAAAGTTGACTAGAGCCAGTGATGTTATGCTATGAGCTTTGTGTTTGGACATAGATTGGCTAATAATTTCATTGTAGTCATTGACTTATTGCTGTCTGCTGCCAAGGAAAAATAGTTATACACTGCTATAATTTAAGTTTGTGTTTTTCTTTTTTCCCCCAATTTGGGCATTTTGCTGCCCCTGTTGACCAAACCAGTTTTAATTTGACACCCAATTTTGATTTAGCCTAAATGTACAGTACATATTACTAATATTAAATTGTGACAAATGTTTACTTCATGGCTTAGTCGGAATATTTCATATACCTGTATTACCGCTTCAGTAACTGCTCACTGCTGCATGAATCTCAGAATGACACGTCAGCAGATAACGCTCATGTTCTTTTCTCAAATAGTTGTTCCACGCAGTTTACAGTGTGTCTTCTTTTCATTAATGTGAATAGTGAAATAGATTAATGTATCTGTCCAACTAGTGTTTTGTACCTTTTGTCCGAGGCACGAAGGACTTTAGCAAACACCTCCAGTTCACAGAACTCTCCTCCAAGCTGACAGAGCCGGCCCTGCTGGTAAAGCTATTACAAACAGAGAGAGAAGAAAGAAGAAAAATTAGCACCAGTATCACAGACAGTATTAATACAGTCAGCTCATCTATTAGTGGCACAATCACACAGATCAATTCAGCAGAATGATTAAGAATACTTACAGTATCTCTAGTTTCTATTATAGAGATGCTTTCAGAAATATTTCTGTGTGCCATTCAGTCCAGCAATTTCAGCTGAGAGCAAGTATCATCTAACCTTTCAAAGACCATTCTTTTAATCTGCATTCATGCATACTAAAAAAATTCTCCATTCAAAAATAATGATCCCTGGAAGCTTTTTGATCAGCGAGGTTAGATCAGTGACCATGACAGTTTCAGCTATGGTATTTGTATGATCCTGTCTCCACAAGTTAGGATATTTTATTTGAAATGTTTATAACATTAAATGTTCTGTCTAATTGATGAGCATTATCTCAAGTTGAAAACAATCCTGCAGCACATGTTAGTATGTAAGTGGTTGAATCTGTGCGTGACAAATTACAGTGCAATCAAGTCAACTGTCTCGAACCCTATTATATAGATATAGCAGAATATATTCCATTATGTGCCTCCGTTGCTATTTATTCAGTAGCTGAAAATGCTCTCAATATACAGCACTGTTGACACACAACCCATAGTACATACAATAAAATGATCAAGATGTAAATACTAAGAGCAGTCTGGAAATATTTTTTTCAGCTGTAAAAATATATCCACAGCCAATTTCTAATTGCTGTGACAAGTTGTAACAAGTGCTGCCGTGATCATTCTCCAGTCTTTTGCTGGTAAACGTGTGGATCACAGTTCATTTTAGAACAAAATGGATATAAGTGACACTGCTCTCTTTACAATCTCACACTCTATATTAATAGATGACAATGATGATGCACACTTAGGGTAAAGTCCTTATAAACACAGATGTCCTCAAAACACTTCAACCCTTGAATTCTGGCAGTCGTCAGGCAGAACGTGTTTTGGTGTTTAAAGGGTGGTGTTTGACCTGGGGGGAGAACTGACAGGGGAGGGGATGTGCAGCATGTATCAGACACCTGGGCTGACAAGTGTGGCCTGTTTCTGCAAACTGTTCCAGCCTCTTGAATATTTTCTTAATCTCCGTGTAGTTAGCCATTAACACAGATAAATACTCAGATGTAAGAGAGATAAAGAAAATACACTTATAGTTATTTATAAGAAAATGAAAAACACCTGCACATCTTGAAGAGGTCACCATCTATTACATATCATTATTGGTATTGTTTATTTAACTTGTGGTTTGTGCTCTTGTGACAAAGTAAAACCCTGAATCAGATAAACATAAGGAAATGTAGCAATGTCTATTCATTCATACAATTCTTTAATAATTGTTTACCTCCAAAAAAAGGAAAGTAATGTGGATTACAAATTGAAGACAAAATAGGATGAGAGAGGAAAAGAGGAAGGAAAGGTAAAGCAATAAAAATAAACCTAAGCAGTCCATGTGCTGATAGACAGAATTATTTTAATAAATAGTTCCATGAGTCATTGGATCCCACATATAGTAGTATAGTAATATAGTAAGTTTCAACTTGTGTTATTATTTTATTGACACTGGAGTGAAAAATCTCCAGTGTTTCTTCCCCAGCCAACGGTTTTCAATTAACCTTCCCCTTTAAACAAAATATTAGATTTCTTTTAAAATATTTTTTTAAGCTGGAATCAGCTTGAATTTTATTGATTGATAACTAATCTATTTGAGTAATTGTGTCAGTTATTGTTAGCTTCATAATCTATCAAGAAATTGTTGCAGCGCTACCAAGATTAAGGGGGACAAATGAACTGACTCAACAAATGCAACAACTGCATTGGGCTGAGTGATTGAAAGGATTTTAACTTTCCTTGGAACCAAGTTAGTAAAAACAAAAAAACATTAGCCCTTCAAAATAGAAAAACAACAGAACATTGTTCTTCTATTGGAAAAAGTGACGTGCAGAAACTGCAGAGCAAATCTATTTCCTAGACCTCTCATTACACAACTCAAGTATTAAAAATTACAAATATAAGTGATAAATAAACTACATGTTTACACTCTTCTACACTCTTTTATTTAAAAGCCCATTCCTATGGTGGAATTAGTGAAGCTTGAAGAGAACATTAGTCTTCTTATTGATATAATAGGAATTTAAACTACAGAGGTAGTTTTTGACTCACAAGCAGCAATGTTCTATTTTATTTTTGTGGATATTTTCAGTCATCCAGGGCATCATAATAATCTCAAAAGCCTCTCATCTAAGAGGCAGTTCTGGAGAAGCCTTACTTGGCGAGTCCAGTTGCCTACTTTAAAATTGCTTTTCAGATTGTTGTTCTATTTAATTGTGGAAAACATATTTTAACATGGAAGTTCCACCCACCCTACCACCACCCATCCTCCCAAAGTGAAGAACTATGTCGATATTTGTATTACTCTGAAAGTTAACGGTTGACAGTTCTAAAATATGTTAGTTTGCCAATGTGTTCTCTGAGCGTAACTGGGCCAAATAATGATCCTGGAAGTGTTTACATTAAAACAATACAATAACAGTCGCTGATGTAACTAACCTCACGGTGGTGGAATAGTTGGCTTCACAAAACACGTTGGCTTCAATGAATCACAGAACACCAAAGCAGCAAACGGTTGCGGTTTAAGATGCCCTTAATTTTAACCCACAAGAGCTAAATAACGTTATGAACAGTGAGCTAACAGTTAAAGGGCTCGAATAAAACCCAGCAGCTCGCCTGTCTACTGACTGTCAGTGGGACAAACATGGATGTAGCAGCTCTTTACCTTGTAATAAACATCGAACTGTATGTTCTCTGGCAGTGAGCGGATGTCTCTTCTTGATCGGCTGTAGTTGTCCACCACTGCCGAGATAGCCGTATTGTACAGTGTCTCTGGGATCCATTCGAGCTCCACCGCAGCCATGTTGTTTTCCCCTTCCAAAAAACACCACCAACAGCAGCAGCTACGGCCCTCCTCCCTGACTTTGCCTACATTAGCTACCTAACTGCGGTTAAAACTGTCCCTCCGAGACTCGTCATACAAGTGTGAGTGTGAAGCAGAAAAGACACAAACGTTAACCCGTTAACAAAGTCCCTGCTCCACTTCCACAACAGCACCGCTAGTCTACTGCCATCCTTACCGACCCTACAGCTACACTGTCGGCCCTTCCCGACGCACACATCCACTGGCGATGACGCAGTGACGTAATCTTTGACAATAATATATGTAAAAAGTTAAATCATTCACCTTTGTGTCTCCAGAGTGAGGCACCTGCCCCAAAAGCAGTAAAACATTATTTTTTCATACCTAACACATATATTGTTTAAAGAAACCTTGGTTCGTAATTTGGTTCCAAATAATGCGGAACAATGTTGAACATCAAGTTATCTTATGTCACGTTAATTCTTTTATACATGTGGGATTTTGGCGGTGTAGTAAATGTCTAACGTGTGTTATATTTCTCCTATTGTCCATAAATTAAATTAACAATGGGTGATGTTATGTATCGTTGAGGAACACTGCTGCCACTTTAAGAGAATTGCATTGTGGGTAGTGGTCGGCCACCTAGTTTTTTCCGTTATAGACACAATAAAGTATTTTCATTCGTTTTGCATTGATTCTCATAACACCTTTAATTTTTTAAAATATATTTTTGATTCACGCAATTGTTTTGAAAGAATCTAGAATGTTATAAAATAACATGCACAAAATCTTTACTAATCATAGGCATAGTGCATTATACGAAAGTGATAAAAATATTGCCCACAAGAATATATTTTTGTTTATATACAGTTAATACGGTACTAACACACACGAAGATTTAACCTACGCCAGGGCACATAGAAACTTCTTATCAAAATGTTACAAATATGAGTAATCAATGCCAGAAAATATTGTCTTGTGGTCCTGTGATTCACAGGCAACCAGGCCCAATCATGGATGAACTGTTCCCAAGCTTTTTCAATGAGAAAAATAAATTAAAACAGTACTTTGGTAAACTCCTGGCTGCTACTGATAAATACAAATGTTTCTGGCAAAATGTACAGACATTTTAAACAAAAAGGTCCTCCAATCTTATGTAAAAAAAAACTAAACTTGAATGACCTCATCCACAGACTTAATATATACTATGTCACTTCTGCAATTAGCGAACCACGTTGTCCTCCTTGTCCAATACTTGTTACTGGTACAACTGATTTACATTTACGTTCACGTTACGAACAGAAGCAGCCAGTAGAGGACGACAGCCGCTTTGCTGTTGTAATATTCAAGTGGTAGAAAAGAAGAAGAAGCCATTCGACGTCATGACATTTGAGCATGCCTACTACACCCCAACATAAACAAAGACCGAACACACAGCTTCTCTCTCACTTCATATTTATTGCCGTCCGCGTCTACACAGTGTGAAGCAACAAATTCCCGGAGGGATGGAAAGCATCTTTCAAATGCGCGTGAGTGTGTTTACGGACCAGGGAGGTAGGAAATACATGGAAGACGTGACCGAGATCATAGTAGAACCGGAGCCGGGAGAAGATGAGGTGATGTCGGCGAATCAGGAGGAGAGCAGCGTTGGAAACTACGAGGTCAACTCTTCGGCTGCAGACAAAAATCCAAACAGGACTAAAGAAGACCCCAAAGCACAGACTGTAGATGGCCCTTGTGAGCCTGAGCAAGCAGGAGATATAAGTTCATCGGTGAATTCGTGTTTACCGGGTGGTGGCATCACACCGGGAGCGCCGCAGCAGAGTCCGCTCGGCCGTTCCCGCCGCTCGGTCGCATTCTTCGCCGTGTTTGACGGTCACGGGGGCCGTGAGGCTGCGCAGTTTGCCCAAGATTATTTGTGGGAGTTTTTAAAGAAGCAGCGGGGCTTCTGGTCCGACTCTGACCGGGAGGTCTGCTCTGCTATACGTAAGGGATTTGTCGCGTGTCACCATGCCATGTGGAAGAAGCTCCGTAAGTTTACTGACAAACTTCACCTGTCACTTTAGAGTTGTTTGGTAACCTCCGTCAAATGTAAACAACAGAAGCCTTTGTCTGTGGTCTGAAGGTTCAGGGTGGTTGTTTGGTACAATAACCTCCATCAAATGTAAACAACAGAGGGCTTTGTCTGTGGTCTGAAGGTTCAGGGTTCGGGTGCTTTCATAGCGTTGACAGATTTTGTGACCACAGTAAGCCTAGTTAAAGCTCAGAATCAACGTTTTACGTTAACAAAAATAGTAACGCCAAATTTATTATTCATTGATCACTTGTGTTTCTCAATAAAGTGGGCAAAAGTCTAGCATTTACACGATAACACAAAAAACTTTTATTTACAGGAAGGATGTACTATTCTGTTGTTTATATACAGGGTTTAATTTGATAAGAACACACACACAAAAGGCGGCACAAGGGCAACTAAGTTAGCAAGGATGGCAAAAGCATGTCCACTCATAACAAAGCCACAACGCAGAACTCAAACAACACATCACAACTTCTGTTGTGACTGTTTAAAGGTCTGTGGTTCTTTGTTTGTAAAGTTGTCCCTTAACGTTTAGCCGTTGTCTGGGACTCGGTTTAATTATAATCAACATATGTACGACACTGGTTTTTCTACGTTGTAGCAGTGTAGTATTCAATGTGTGACCCTTTTCTATGAAACATAGACGCATAAGCCGGCTGTTTGTTCAGGTGTGTGATATGTCTGGACAAGTCAGCTGTTTTGCAGTCGCTGTCACGCGTATACACACAAACACACCCACTCGGGTGTGTAATGACAAAATATGACAAAAAGATTTTCGGACGTAATCTACCCGAGATGACACTGCTGATGTCAAACTGATAGCAAATTTAATACTTTCCATAGAATTCATAGTCTATTTTATAAATTCTTATTTTGATTCAGATTATGAGACAGTGGACAGTGCATGCTATTTATGTTCAAAGCTCAGTTGCATAAATGTCTTATTGTTGATTGTCAGCAGACAGATATAGCCTAAATGACTGTATATATGTTTTTCTTTTTACTCAGCTGAATGGCCAAAGACACTCACAGGTCTCCCAAGCACATCAGGCACCACAGCCAGTGTAGTGGTTGTCAGAGGGAACCGAATGTATGTGGCCCATGTTGGAGACTCTGCGGTGGTTCTGGGGATACAGGATGATCCCACAGTTCCATTCATTAGAGCTGTGGAAGTGACCCAAGATCACAAACCTGAATTACCCAGAGAGAGGGAGCGTATTGAAGGCCTGGGAGGAAGGTAAGCATAATGACCTATTCATTCTGACTTCATTTTTAAATTAAATATCACATTAGTTTCTAACATATGTTATTCAATTATTTAGTCTGTGTAAATATCAGTATTTTACGGCACTCTTCTCAGCCACAACCCAAAAGAGACTTGGCCAGAAACATTGCTGAGTGAAGTGTGTAAGTTGTAAGAAAACACAGCAGGGTTCACATTCTTAACAGTTATTTAATGGCAGCCCCTATCACCCTCTTCTAAACCAACAGATTGTAATCAAGCAGCATTTTACAAGAACAGTAGATCGGAATGTTATCTACATAAAGGAGGCTTCTCTGTACTGAGTAAAAAAAGCTTTACTCTTTGTATTTTAATAGCAATACAGTCAATACATGGACATATGTTGGGGAAAGTCCACAGTGTGGAAAGTTACTGCTGTGTGATTGGTTAGATCATTAAAAAAAGGAACTTTTATCATGTGTTATGTGAGAGGCCACTGTTCCACTCTGGAAAAAAGTGTGATGCTAAAAACAACAGTATTGCATCTAAAAGTTATTTAAATAGAATTACAAATGTGTAAAAGGACAGTATTAGAGTTAGGACCTAAATGAATAAATATGAAACCTCCTCCATTTAGAATGTTTGCTTAAAACATTTTAGTCTCTTCATCTGAAGTTTAATCTATTTAACAATACGTGAATGTCGACACACTGCAGTAGGTGGGCTGCACTGATTGGGGACAGATGTCAAGATTGAGAGAGTTGTGTATTATTACATTTAAAATTCAAAACAATGATGAATGTAGCTTATCAACTGGATCTTCTTTTTCCCCCCATTGTATCTTCTGACAGTGTGATCAAGAAATCTGGGGTCAATCGGGTTGTGTGGAAGAGGCCGAGGCTGAGCCACAACGGCCCTGTTCGTCGTAGCACTGTCATTGACCAGATACCATTTTTGGCCGTAGCCCGAGCACTGGGTAGTGTGAACTAAACCAAAAGACAAATATTATAATATATAATATATAAGTTATTTAAAATGGGTTAGATGTCAGGTCGAGTGAAGTCATCAGCAGCATTCCTTTTGCAGGTGATCTGTGGAGCTATGATTTCTACAGTGGCGAGTTTGTGGTTTCTCCTGAGCCAGACACAAGTGTTGTGACACTTGACCCCAAAAAGCACCGCTATATTATCCTGGCCAGTGACGGTCTGTGGAACATGGTGCCACCGCAGGAGGCCATCTCTATGTGCCAGAACAACACAGAGGTGATATTGAATGTGAGCTGCATTAGTGAAAACATATGCAGTTTAACAACTTTATTGTATGACCAAGGTAAAAGGAAGGAATATTTCAAAAGCCCCAGTACCTGTGTATTAACTCCCTTCTTTCTTTCAGGCACCTTGTGGAGTGTCAAGTGCCAGACAGCTTGTCAGCTATGCTCTCCAGAGATGGCGCCAGAGGATGCTGCGTGCTGACAACACCAGTGCCATTGTTATTGCGCTGGAGGAGTCGAACCTATCACAGGACGTGCTGCACCATGAGGAGGTGCTTCTTGATCTTTCTAAGGGGTCCCAGTGTCTTCCCAGCTCCGTATCTCGTGCTGACACCCCTCTACTTCAGGTAAAGTCATATATTCAGAGAAATATCAGCCATCTCTCTTTATGTGTTGCCTTTTGTTAGACATTTTTCTGTTTGATACATTTTGATTTTTCAGTTTGATGTGATTTACCTTCTACTTGCCGTGGTTTGGGTTGGGCAGTTGACATATAGTTGCGAAGGAATAATATTTCACCAGAACTTTGTGGAGTATTACACTGTTATTTTGTGTGTCTCTGCTGTTGGATAATACAAAACAATTTTCTCAAATGCTCCTTTACTCTGTTGGCTTGCAGCACCCTCCGGAGGAAGACTCTTTTTCTGATCTGTGTGACTTTCTCCCTGCTCTGGAGCGCCGAGATGGCCTTTCAGGAAGCAGCAGCTTGTTTCACATGGAATTATCCGACCCCTTTGCTCTGACTCTGCTTTGTCCGAACTCAAGTACTGAGCTGCCAAGTCAGTCGAGCCCAAGTGACAGGACACCTGTCAGAAGGACACCTATTAACAAAAGGACTAACGAGGGTCCATCATCACCAGCTTTAAGCCATTTGGCTAAGAAAAGCCGCCGCAGGACTGCAGACAGACCACCTCTTGTGCAGCACAACACTGAGAAGAAACAGAAAGAGACAAATAATGTCTCACCCATTCTCCAGCAGCATAACAAGACTACAGTGTGTGTATACTAAACAGTGTTGTAGAACACATTTTAAGACTACAGCTCAAGTCCAACTTGGGTCTGGATTTTTCTACACTCATGACAAGGACTTAGAGCATTTACTTGACTTAGTTTTTCTGTAGAACCTGGAAGTATCACATACGGTATCACTCTGGTCTTTACGAAGACTCAGGGTCATCCTCTGTTCTGGACACAAGACTGCTTCCATAGACTTCAATTCCTTTTGTGTTTTTTGGTCAGGGCATGTATTTATTTATCCAAACGTCAAGCTTAATTCCTTTTGAAGAATCTTCAAATAGTAGTAAGGACTATAAACTATTCAAGAAACAAAGTTGTTAAGTTGAGTTTACTTCTGACACTAGTGGAACTATTATGTTTTCATGGGAGTCTCTTTGCAACCCTGGTAGCTTCATCCATCCTTTATGCCTTCAAGTCTTTACAGTTATTTAAATGATGACGACTCCAGTTCCAGTTCCTCTGATGCTCTTTGGGATTCAAACTCGAAGAGCAAAGACTCAAAATGTGACTCAATGTTAACACACTCAAACAACAGCCTCCCACTGTTGAACAGTGGTTTTATTTATATCAGTTCTCCCGTAGTTCGGTAACCATTTCATTCTGTGTAAGTATTCAAAAAATCATCAGCTAAATGTATTACTTCAACCCTGTTATTTTGAGCGATGCTGGTGTATGTTATATAATGCATTTTTAATCCACGTCTAAATAAGTAAAATAAAGTATTTGTTTTATAACAAATATATTTATATTTTATATACATTATTGTATTGTATAGCAAATATATTACCTAATATGAAATTTAAATGAAGTCCTCTTTAGCCAATGTATGTTTACTCTTCACCAACTCCCACAAAGCTACAGTATGTGCACCGGTATATGATTCAATTTTTGTCATTCTTGTGTTATTTAACTACTGGAGATTAGTCTTGAATATGAAGGTGCTGCTACAGCCAAACACCAGTATGCTAATGCTCGTGTATATTGATGGAGAACACCGTTGTTAGTAAGGTTTTTATTTGAGAGTTAAAATTTAATATGAGAACTCTACCCTCTTAAGTCGTAGGTCATGTCTGATAGTTTTTAGGTTTTGCATCTTACATGTTGAATTCCTCTTTCAGTCATGGCAATTTAGTTGTGTTTTTTTCCTGTGAACTTTGGCAGGAGTGGCGTTATTATTTGGGACCAGCTGCTGTTTACAACCAATGTTTGCTGTCACTCTGTGCTGCCACAGTGGCAACTTGTTTCACAATAGGGTAAAAAAAAAAAAACGTAATCAGAAGGCAGTGCTGTGAAACCACTGTACACTGTCACCTAATTTATTTGGTCTGCACTGTCTTTTAATAGAATAGTCTGTAAACAAGCTATTGTCCCTGATACTGTTACTGATCTATGTCCTACAGTCATTATTTATCAGTAAAACAAATGCATGTACTTTCTAAAATATATTTTTGCACTGTTGTTATATTGTTGGTTGTCTTTTTAGACCTGTAACATTGGAAGACATGAAAAACATTGTAAAGTAGGAAATGTAAGGGACAAATCATAACACTTTACCGTAGCAGGAATTCCCACATTGATGTTGTCCTATTTTACATCTTCTGCTGTTCCACTTCAAATTAAGAATGATGATGAGTAAAGACAAATAGACAGAAATTTCTGCCCTGGTCCATCCTTGTTTCTTTATGATATATTATCTGTAAGACTAGTAGAATTTTTAACTTCAAAATATTCTGAATAGTTGTCATTGAAACCATAGGAGGGATAGCCTTAATGTCTACAATGTCCCTTTTACAAATAGTTTTCTTTTCTTCACTTGAAAGGGAAATCTTTATTTTGTAATTTTTATAATAATAAATGCTAACGTGATTCAGGTGGCTCTACTCAATTTGCATATGGACAGGGCAAATGTGAAAAATAATTTAAGCAAGCAATAAAAAAATTGCATTTAAACATCTGAGATCATTTCTTGTATTAGATATTTTACACATATATGTATTAAGATTGATAGATGAAAAATACTTTATAAACATGACAACATTGATTTGCGTGAAGACTTTTGTGACAAAACATGGGCGATGTTTATTGACGCAATTTCCTCTCCTGCTTACCAAAACATTGTATCTAAATTTTCATAATAAAACCATAATCGTCAAATGTGACCTTACAAATACCACAAATATAAATACCAGTAACGTCATTCAAGTAGTAAGACCTTACTGTACATTCTGTAGAAACAGAAAATATATTTTTAAATGAAACAAATTACGAACATTTGCAATTTGTGAAGAGATCTTCTTTTAGTTTGAAAACATTTTATTAGTATTTATGTTTATTTTGAAAACATTTTATTAGTATTTATGTTCTCACTTCCTGTTAAAGAGTAATCTAATTTTTGAGAGCGGGAATAGTTTGCCGGATGGATAGCTCGAATGTAAAGAAATGAAACTGTGCATCAGCGTCATATTTAAATGTTAATTTAAGCAAATTCCAGGTTTCGCTGTTAATGTCATGTGACATAAACATTTACGCTACAAAAAGTAACACGAGGGACCGCCTCGACTTGTCGGTAGGTGACAACTCACTAAAACAACACACACACATAGTAGTTAGCAAAAACAATGTTGAAATAATCACGCATATTATATTTTATTCTATCATAACTCCTTTTAGTCGACATTTCGTGTACTTCCAATCAAACGAAGCTACGTGTCACCATTGTGTGTCCAATGCCATCGTGATAAAACTCTTCTCTTGCATTATTTCAATACCTTTCTGTGTAGCAGAGAAAATGGCTAATTCATCTGTGGAGTACACCATCGGAGGGGTGAAGATCCACTTCCCCTGTAAGGCTTATCCATCACAACTGGCCATGATGAATTCAGTGAGTAGACCTGTACCACTCCAGAAACCAAACCACTTATTATCATATACTGTACCCGTGTATGTTAGGCTGAAATGGTATGTGCTGACAATTGTTTGTACCTTCTCTTCAGATTGTACGAGGGCTGAACTACGAGCAGCACTGTTTGCTGGAGAGTCCCACAGGAAGTGGGAAAAGCTTAGCCTTGTTGTGTTCCGCTCTGGCTTGGCAGCAAGCTCACATCAGTAAGTGTGAGAAAATTCTTCTGTTCACAGAATTATTGCGTCATGTGTGCATTAACAGACCTTTCTGAGTTTAATCATTATACTAATATTGTATTGCAAATTCTTTCTGATTGTAAAAGTGTAAATATTTCAGTTACTTGTTTAGTATGTTAAGTTGTGAATTAATCACATTATATTAGTTATCATTACGTTCTTATGTTTCCTCATTGTTCTTCTTCAAATCTTGCCTAAAAATCTTATTCTTTCTCTATATACAGACTAAAAAGTCAGTTTAGGTTATATAAGTGTTTGACTTTGTGTTGACAGCTAAAATCCAGGAAGGAGGAAGCCAAGTTAACAACAAGGGCCAGTCGAATAAAATCCCTGAAGTGTGTAAGAAGGCGGACGGTGGCCCTCCATGCCAGTGTGTGTGCCACAGCCAAGTTAGAGGAGCAGCACCCGCCAAACCTGGAATAGTTGACCTTACTGAGTCAACATGTGAAGAGCAGAGCAAAACACCTGCAAAGCTGCATTCATCATCTGATCAAGGTAAGGTTCTTCTAGTGCTTCATTAATCCGTGATACCATTTTTAAGAGGAAAATATAATGATTTGAGTTCTAAATATAAAATCTCATTGCATTGGTTAACCATTTTTGATGAAGACAAACCCAGATGTTTGAGCTCTTACATCTTTAAGTTCCATATGTTGCCCGATATAGAGCCAGGGATTTCTATGTTTCAGTGATTGCAGACATATGCAGTAAAAAATAATACAAACATACAAAAATATGAACTTTATTGGACAGTCACTATTTTATAAGTTTTTTAAGTTATTTGTAATCTGCGACTCCAGTGTTGGTCTCAATCTTTATTTGGTTGATACAGTTAGTGAAACTAAAGCATACCTGGCAGTTTGTACCTTTGTTGTGTATGCGTTAAGGCCATAATGCCCTGCTGTAATCCTTATATTGTTGGTATCATTTTAGAATTGTCACATGTGGAGCCGACTTCTAAGAAACAGAGCTTAGCCTCCCGGCTGTCGGAGAAGTTGAAGATGTCATTGATGTCTGTTGAAGAGGATGATGACTTCCAGCCAGACAGGAAACACACCAGTGTTGCTGAAAACAAGGTAGTTACCAATGTACTAATAGTGAATTTGCTTCTTTTTAAATTTGACAGAATATTTGAATGATTTCATGTTCTTGCAAAGTTATTGTCCAATTTAAGAATTAAATGGGCGGATAATATCGCATGCTGTACTGTACCATGTATAATGCTGAATGAATGTTAGTATGTTTTTCATATATATATTTCAAATTAAAACACAGTCAAGGTTCATTCATTTTTATTTCATGCATTTGTATTGATTTTTAATCTATTCACAATGCATCATTACATCCCTACTAATCATCACAGTGTGATTACTATTCTTCAGGGTTTTCCTTCTGTTTGGCTACTTTTTTACATCTGCTGTGATCCTCAACACAACAGTATATGGACTGAATGGACACTGAAAAAATGATGATGCAAGCACATAAATCATAAACAGACAGCTTTGAAGAGAAAACATAAATGTATCTGTTTCTCAGAGCCGAAAAAGGAAGCGTGAAGAAAAGGGAGTGAATTTCATTGATGATGATGACGAGGTACCGGCAGGAAACGTGTGGCAGAACCAGAAGTGGGCGACAGGACCGAACAGCCCCGCAGCAGCCCATTTGTCGTCATCATATACTGTGAGTACACATCACACACATACTATTACACTTGTCGTTTTATTTTTTCTCCACATGGGGGCACTATTGTCCGTGTTTTTGTTTTTCCATTTACTGAGGTCTGGCAGTGGCTGTGGAAATACCCTATTTAAATAATATAAAGGTGGTGAAAAAATACTGTAAGCATTACATTCATTCTCTTATTGACTGACCAAACAACAAACCACAACATTTTCTGCAGGTTTAACAACAGAAATTTCATTTTAATTTTTCTATATATTTTCCTTTAAGCAGTTGGTCATTTTTTTATTTAAATTAACCAACTTTTTATTTTTCAATTCTCAACTAGTTGAGGTGCCATTTATGTAGTCCTGTAGTTCAAGTAATAACATTTGTATCTGTGAGTCACAAATCTATATTATTATATATAATATATAAGTACAGTAGAAAAGCTTTTCTAGATAGACATTCACGCAATTTGTAAATAAAATACAATTTGATAGTTTGAGAAAATACTAATTTATTTGTTAATGCAAATATTTGACTCTAAAAGTTGAATTTGATTTACTCTCCTGAAGGAAACTACTTAGTTTTATTGACTTTAATTGCAGCTTAGTTGATGACATGTCTGAAGTTTCAGTATGCTTCTCTAACAGTTTTAACCTCAAACACGCCAGCTCTCACTGTGGCCCTGGACACATACGCTGCACTGAGACAATGAATGAGAAATTGTTTTTGTGTTTGTATCTGGTATGAATATATACAAGGTGTTTATAAAAAGTAAAACTTTCTGTCACTGACAACATATACATGTAGTCAGCACATGGGCATCATGGAGTCTATATTTTAAAGTAGTTTTAAGTATCGTTGCTGCTTAAAGTGTGCAGTCAGTGACCAACAGGTCAGCTGTTATCAGAGATGTGCTCAAGCATTAATTGCCGAAGTGACGCTCGCAGCAGCGACTCTCACAACTTTCTCTAAACCTGCCACAGGTGTGTGGCTCGGATTTAGACCTGTGGATGACGGGAGGTGGAAAAAGAGGAGGCGGAGGGAAAGTGAAGTCGAAAAAGCGCATCCGTCTCTGGTTTCTCTGCGGCTACATAACCCAGGCTCCTTTGTCCTGTGAGTGCTGACTGACGGCCTGAATGGGGTCCTTTGAAGCAAGCTCCAGTTTTAATTAAGAAGGTTTGCCTCGCCTGGGCTGCTGATCTGTGAAAGCCACAGGGATAAATATTGAATGGGGTTCACCCGCTGGTTACTGTGCCTGAGGGATAAACAGGTGCTTTGGAGGGCAGATATTTGCCACGGTCCTTCCCTGTGCAGTGTGGTCATATTAGGAAGAGGGGCGCGAGGGGGGGTGTTTGGTGTCATGTCTTCTGCGGTATTGGCTATTGAAGCACACCCTTATTGGAATGAATTCCTAGCCCTTGAAAGCTGTGGAATGAGGAGCAAATTGTTGTCCAGCAAGAGGCGCCAGTGATACCTAAGTGATCCGCTGCCTGCGGCCCCTTGGTGCCCTCTGACTGGCCCCCTGGAGTGTGAGATTTCCATCTATCAGGTGTTGGCAGGGAGAGCGGCAACAGAAGCCTACCTGTGAATATTCTGAGGTGTTCGGTAACACCGCTGACCTCTGTTCCGTCAATTCAAGGCGCTGCATGCACTCACACCTGGGTGTGTTTGTGTGTGTGTATATGATCAAATGCGTATCACACCCAGAATAAGTTAAAAAAAAGTATCTGTATTTATTTAACACAGTGTAAAGTAAGAAACGTGGCTTTAAAAAACCTTACTTCCGATTTCAGTTTCACCCAAATTTAATATCAACTCTCTTTGCTTACAAAAAAAGAAAGCTGGTGGACAAAACAAAGGCACAGCTTTTCTCTTGATGGCCCAGAGCAACACTGGAGAAAATTGCCCTGCTCTTAAAGGACTGTTCTGTTCTTGTGTGCGGGCAGAGCTGGTGTCCTGTTTGCCTCTTTTGCCAGTTATCTGCATTCCTTTCTATGGAGTGTCTGCACTGGGCTGCGGGGCCAAGCTTGAAACCTCGTTGTCCTGGCATCTCGGGAGTCAGGTATGTAAGAGGATACTCTTGTGTCAGCTGTTTCCTGCTGGAGCTTTTGACAAGGGCCTCTATTCATCAGCCCGGACCTTCTACTCTGTCCCTGCCTTCCCCTCCTTCCCCCCCCCTGCCAATGAATAAGTAATTATTGGCCATCTTGGAGCAGGATATTTGGATGGCCCTATTTAACGTGGCAGCAGTAGGTAAGGTGATCGGGCCCAGGGCCCAGGCTGTGAAGCGTAACTGTTCCAGAGGAGAAAGGTAACTTGAACTGGTGTTGGGGCCCTGCAGCGCCTCTGTTTATTTTTCACATGGACTCAGGGCTCGTTATCCCTCTTAACTCTGAGAGATGGCTCTTTAGAAGGATCTCTCCTGCTCCACCACACAATGTAATTTTTGATGGGAAAACATGCTTGAAAAATCAGGGCTGATGGGTTACATGAGCTGCACGTCCGTCGTTAAGAGTCCTGCCTCCAGATCCCCATTGTATGTCCTATACCATGTCAACACATACCAGTCATTCTGATGGCCAACCATTCATGCAATTAAGATGTGCTAAAAACTATATTAGAATTTCAGTTATTTAAAAAGAGGTTACATTTATAAAAGTTTAAGAGTAAGGCAGATTTTTTTTGTGGGTTTGAAGACTGGAAAAAATGAAAATTTGCAAATCAGCCTCATTAATTTATCTTCTTTTGCTAATCCTCCTCTGGTTTTTAGGGGGCTGAACTCAATCCTAACAGTGTTATGGCAGGATTTATTTTTATTATTTATTTTATTTATGTGGTTCCACATTGGGTGGTTTTCATGTCTGCTTTACTTAGTCCTCCTCATGTAAGTCGCTTTGCTAAATGCATAACTGTAAATTAACAATTTTTATAAGACTTAGATAAAAGTTAATTATTTTACCACTTTTTTTTTATAAGACTTAAGAGATAAAAGTTAATTATTTTACCACTTTGTCATTGCTATTTGTATTCAACTGTGTTGTTTACCAATCACCCAAACACTTCCAGAGTCACATTGACCCACCACTGTACCACTGTAGCCTTCTAACACTTGCACTCACAGAATTTTAGTTAGTATGGTGAAAGAAGACTAACCTCTGTGTCTGGAGACTGGGTCCTGTTCAACTTTTGGTTTTTGCTCCACTGAACTTTCATCATGCATTTATCTTTGTAATGAGTCCTTCATGCACTGCAGCTCTACCTTAACATTCCTCTTTTTACAGCTGTTGACAGACAGTGCCACCTGATACAGTCTGATCATCTTCTGCATCGACATTCTCGTTCACTTTAACTCCCTCGTGTTTTCTTTTCTCTTGTACATTATTATATAAAGACTTCATGGTTTATCAGTGTGAGTTCGTAATGACAGTAATGCAGTGGTTCCTTTGTGTCAAATCCACCTAAATGAGAACTGTATTTGGTATTAATGATGGTATTTATGATAAAGTGGAAAACCTGAAAGTAATTAATTCCTATGAAATGGTTATCCATTATTGAACCAGAGGTAAACTGTGTCACTGCTCTTAGACTATAACTGACTTCACTCATAACAAGTTTTAAAAATTTCAAGTGAATTATTTAATTAAATTAAAATATTTTTGTTTAAAAAAATCTGTGCAAATCTAATTTATTCAGATTGACTTTAAACACCAACTAGTGCTGTATGGTGTTTCTGTATACACTGAAATTACATCAGTTCTAATCAATGAAATAACTCACATACTGCTTCTGGAAACGGTTCCTTTTGTTGATATTTGTTGAACCTCTGAGAAGCCTGTGATGAGATGATGTATGGGGGGCCCTTATGGGGGGCTCTTATCGGGGGCTCTTGGTGGTCAAAACTTAAAAGAGCTCACAACTTAAGGAGGATCAGTTTCACATATGTTGCCGACAACACAAAGAGAATCCACCACCTCACTGGAGAGACAATTATGAAAAAGCTAAATTTTTCCCAGCCTTCACAATAGTAGACTATCACCTGTCAGGCGTTGTAAAGGTCAGCTAGTGTAGGGAGAAGACAGTAAGTTTAATATATGGACTGTCAAGAAAAAAAAGAATGTACATGATTAAATGTAAAAGTGATCAATGTAGAGATTGAACTTGACATTTTCTTTTTTCCACCCAGGTGCCAGAACTCTGCTCCAAGTGCCCATGTGCTTCAGCCAAAGAAACACCAAAGGAAAAGGATAAAGATGCCAAAAAGAAAATCCCCAAGATTTTTTTTGGCACTCGAACGCATAAGCAGATAACACAGATCACTCACGAGCTCAAACGCACCCGGTACTCTAACGTGCCAATGACCATCTTATCCAGCAGAGATCACACCTGTATCCACCCAGAGGTGGCGCCACATTCCAATCGCAACGAGCGCTGCAAGGACCTGCTGGAGGCTAAGGACGTAAGGAACCACACGCACACCGAAAACACCAGCGCATGTATGAATTATGAATAACATATAATAGTTAAGTGACTTTAGAGTTTTTAGCAGTGAGAGAACTGTTTCAGCAGCTGAAGCTGAGCATGTTTTTTGATGACAGTGGTTGGACCTCATACTTCTAGTGCTCCAAACCCCATTTACTGAAATGAAAAGACTAAGATACCGTTTTTTTTAAACATCACTTGTTTTCTGTAATCTATAGTTCACAGATGACATATGCTTCATTTCTGCCTGTAAAAACTATCTAAAATATGAAAATCACATGCTGATACTTGACCACACGACACCCATTTGTTCAACTGACCTTTGCTGCAAACTTGTAAAACAGACGATCAGGTGACTACAGCACCAGGAGACAAAACTTTGAATGATGTAGCCTGGGAGCAGTGATTATCCTGCTACAATGTCCTCATTTGGTGCAGCAGGGTCTTTTTAACACAGCGAAATGTCACGAAGTATTAAGCGAGCAACATGAGACACTTGTTACCTCTCACACTGTCCTAAGGTTGAGGCGCCTACTGTAATGAGTGCAATTAAGCTGTCACTGGAGATGTTCGTGTCTGACTTTGTCATATGAAGTAGTCTGCCCACTTCTGATCGTTCTGTGGAGTGGGTGTCAATGATTCTCCGTGTGCCTTCACCGCCCCGAGGCCCGGTCTCCTCAGTATGAGGTTACCATGCTGTACAGGCACAAAGCGGTTCACACACAAAAGCACACAATGATAAGCTAATGGCGTCTTTTGTCAAAACATCTTCCTTCTTTTTTTAACAGGCCAAGACTAGCGTTAGTGAACTGTCGCTTCACTAGTTTTTATTCTCCAATATTCTCTCTGACTCAGGGCAAAGAACTTTTCAGTTCAGTGTCTGAAAAGTTAATAAGTATAACACAGTTTCTTGGGAAGTACTTAATCCACAGATCCTTCAAGTCTCGGGAGGTTACATGAATCCACTGGTGCACTGTATTTGTGTGACAGCGTCACCCCAAGCTGTTGGAGTCATAAAGACGAGGGGGTGGGGCATCTGGAGCAGGCACCTCTGCTGACAGAATAATTGGCCTTGGGTACATGAGATGCTACTTTTCTTTACATGTCTTCATTCACTGTATGAGTGTCAGCACATGTAAACTACCACAATAGAGGGAACACCTGATCCCGGCCACCTTTAAAACACGCTGTCAACTTTGATAAAAGGGAAATTCAGTCTCTCAACTATATCAACAAATATATTGAAGTAAGTGTGGGGCCAATGCCAATTTAGCGGAGGACTTTATGAATAGACCATATACATAAATAAGTACAGCCACGCGACCAATGAAGACATAAAATACACCAGCATTGGTATAAAACAGATTAGATACAATTTTAATCTTATTTATATATTTATATAAATTGCTTGATTAATCACAATTAATCATGATTAATAGACATTCCTAAATCTAAAAAAAAAAAAAAATCTTTTTCCCATGTATTGCTGGAACAGAACAGACAAATAACAGCAGGTAGATGTGTTTTGTTCACAAACACATGCAAGGGTATAACTGGATTTTAGTCAATACTGTGCTAGCTGCAGTGTTGTTAAGTTTATCTTGAATTTTATTTTGTACTATTTTGTTTGTTACAATTTATATTCATAATTATCTTTTTAACTGAATATTTTACAGGGAAGGTCCTGCCGATACTACCATAATGTTCAGAAGATGCGAGACCAGCACACACTACAGAATGTGCACGGACTAAACATGGCCTGGGATATTGAGGACCTGGTGTCACTGGGCAAACAGCTCCGCTCATGTTCTTACTACGCTGCCCGCGAACTGAGACAGGGTGCCTTAATTGTCTTCTGCCCATATAATTACCTACTCGATCCAATGATCAGAGAAAGTGTGAGTAAACAACAGTTGAAAGAGCAAGTTGAAGAAAAAACTGTTGCATCAACAGGTGATATGTAAACTACTGCTTTTCCTTTCCTCATATTTGGTTTGCTGTTTGTTTGGACCAGATGGAAATCGACCTGACCGGACAGATCCTGGTTCTGGATGAGGCTCACAACATCGAGGACTGTGCAAGAGAGAGTGCCAGCTACACACTGGACCATAACAGTCTGCTGTTGTGCAGGGATGAGCTGGAGGGCATGATCAAAAACAACATCCGAAAATCCAAACATGAACTCCTCAGGGACTTCTGCTACAGTCTTACCAAGTCAGTCTTATTTAGAGTTTAAGAAATTCTCTTGTGCATATTGAAGCTTCTAACGGCAGCAGTGCAGTAGGTATTTACTCCACTGTGACTTCTCTGTGTAGCTGGATCCAAGAGAGTCGCAGCCTGATGTGTGAGAGGGGATACGAGGCTGCAAGTAAAGTCTGGAATGGGAAGGACATCCTGGTCATCTTTCACAGTCTGGGCATCACTGCAGACACCTTTGCTCTTCTAAAGGTACATCACACATCTCTTTTTTTAAATTTAATTTGAATTTATTTATATTCAGCTGATGTCAAGTGACATCTCTCTCCCTGTTTCTATTATTTTAGCTGGAAAATGAATAACCACTTTTCCAGTCATGGGAAATATATATAGAAAATTAGACAAAACAACATGGAAAAGCTGAAGTATTTAAAATGTGATTATAAACAGCAGTATAACCACCATCTGCATTGCTGAGCAGTGGCTGATTAGACTGAAAGAGTGCAATCTTATAGAAGCACTGAGCATACTATCTGCACTGATGCTTTTGGAGTAATTTTAGGTAAAACACAGAGTTTACTTCTGTTGTTTTAAACACAAGAGTGTGTTGTTTTTCTCTGCTATGAATCCATGCAACAGGACAGCCTGGCAACAGTGCTTGAGAAAGAGGAGCGTGCTCTTTTAGTGAATGGCAGAGAAGATATGGTCCCAGTTCCAACCATCCACTCATCTTCTGCCACCATCCTCAAAAACCTCTTCATGGTTCTGGATTTCCTGTACAGTAACAACTGCAGGTCAGAGTCAGCGTAAACAAGTCGGCCAGTAGCTCACACGCAGAATGAAGTGGGCTGTTGACCTCTTTGTCCTTTGTAGGTTTGCTGAAGATTACCGGGTCGCTCTGCAGAAGAGCTACGCCTGGACCAATCAAGCCCCAGCAGATGTGCCTGATTCTCAGGGCTTCTTTGTGCGACCTCGTCACAGACAGCGGCACAGCGTCAGGGTCAAAACAGAAGTGCTGACACTCAGTTTCTGGTGCCTCAACCCAGCTGTGGTGAGAAACTGAAGATTGCAGAGTAGTGGTGTGGTTTAAAGCATAAAAATATATGCTCTAAAGACAAATACTGATAATGTGAAATATTTGTTTTAATTAATGAATTTCTCAGGCTTTCTCTGACTTAAGTGGATCAGTGAAGAGCATTGTTCTGACTTCAGGAACTCTGTCTCCTATGGGTTCCTTCTCCTCTGAACTTGGGGTTAAGTTCTCCATCCAGCTAGAGGCCAACCATGTCATCAACAAGTCCCAGGTTACTGATTTATGTCATTTGGTCTCACCGCTGTCATGTAGTTTGTGCAAAATCCACCAGTTTATTTCAAAGATCTGTGACTACTTTTAAAAATATTGAACACATTAATCAAAACCTAACTTAAAACTTCGCTGAAAAGTTACAGATTTAACAAAGTCGGTGAAACAGGTGCAGTATCTGCTTATCTGTATCATCCTTTATTTGTATCGCAGTACCATGTCGGTCCAGCAGGTGTCAGAATCCAACTGCCTGATATAAAAAAGACTCATCCAAAGCCTGAACATTAGAGTTTTTTAAGGCTTTAACGGACACTTAAATAAAAGCGATGTTTGTATTTACTTTACTTTACTTAACATTTATAAATGTTTGTACGGTATGAAGTGTTATGATGATATCAGGCCAACAATTGTCACATCCTTTCTTCAGGTTTGGGTTGGCACAATTGGTGCAGGACCCCAAGGCAGAAAACTTTGTGCTACCTTCCAACATACTGAAACCTATGCCTTCCAGGATGAGGTAGGAGCTCTGCTGCTGGACATTTGCCAGGTGGTCTCCAAGGGTGTGCTCTGCTTTTTGCCATCTTATAAGGTAAATAAGACTCAAGCTTGAGATTAGTTTCTTCATACAGCCTCACTACAAGCTGCTGCAATATGCTACTTGTTTTCTGTCTGCTACCAACCTGAGTCAAAGCAAAAAAAAAAGTTCACCCTTTATATACCAAATGGTTGAGCTCATTATGACAGGTTTGACAATGGAGTATTTGAAGAAGAAAAATAATGGGAAAATCAAAAATATATACATGATTCCTTGTAACAAAACCACTAACTACACATATTTCCACCCATCTGTAATTATGAAAGGACACACTAAATGTTTAAATAATAATAACAACAGATAAACACTCCCCCCCTGCCCCCCACACCAAACGCGAGTTTAACTTGTCCTAAGATAGAACATAAAAGCAGTGCTCTCCCATGGATCGTGTTTCTATTGGGACACTTTATGCTGCCGGACCAGGAAGTGCAGCGGTGCGAGTGTAAGTATGTTTACTATACTTTACTATGTGTAGTAAAGTTCTGCTAGGGGTTTAATGGTGAATCTGCACGAATGGGTGTCTCACTGTCCGCTTTGCTGTTGAAATAAATTGATTTGGTCGGTGATATAAAGTGTTGTGGTTGTTTCTGTACGCTAACCGGTTTAGCGCTTAGCATATTGACGCGTGTACTCACTGCATCATGGGAGTGTAGTCCTTGTATGTTAAGCGCCATTTCTACTGTTCAGGACATCGGTCCAACGGAAACGGAAAACAATTAAAAGGTGCCCATATTTTTTTTACAGATACCCACACATTTCATAATTTAAATTAAATATTTAATTTTTTGCCTTTCTGTATAAGTTAAGGAGAATGATGTAATGTGTTTATGCTGACATGCTGAGCAAAACTGCACTTACAGAAGTAGTACTTACACACACAAAACAAATAATAATTAGTTGATTCATTTTTTTTCAGTTCGTATAAGAACATTCTGATATCGTCAAATGTCTGTAATTGTAGAAAACAAGAAGTGTTGATGTAGCATCATACAAGTTGAGTGGTTGAAGGGTTTGGCTGCTGCAGTTTTATTTAGCATGAATTATGCTGCATCTGCTGTTTTTTCTCTCAAAGACCTACTATTGCTGTGTTGATTACTGTTAAACTTCAAGTAATAGATAACCTAGTGTGTTAGTGTAACGTGTAAGAACTTTTGTAAGAACAACTTTTTTGAAAGATTTTTGTCTGGCCACTGGGAGGCGCTCGAGACCACAAACTGAAGTCGTGTCCATCGCCTCTTTTGCTAAAGCGCATTTGTCCAGACGAGAGAGTTCCTCCAAAGCTGACAGCATTCCAGCAGATCTCACTGCAAACACAGCGGCGCCATCTGTAACAATGGATCACCACTAATCAATAGAGACACTTGTCAGGTTCTTTGGTAAATTCCGTCATCCGCACAGAACTGTATCCTCTTTCAGTTAATGAGGGCGCTTGTGAGAGTGCACTCGCAGACACTTTGTCCTCCTTTGTTTGTTATGCATTTTTCTCCATGAATAATTAATGTACACTACAGCTCACTTGTCACATTAGCTTACAAAAGGGCAAGTGGATTTCGTTTATCGTCATGTCTTTGGGCACGCTGCACCGAACACGGGACTTTGTTCCGTTGGCAGTTTTTTAGTCATCATACTCTGGGATTTCTTCATTTTTTTAATGGTAGTTAACGAAAAAAATATTGTTTTTAAATATCTAATACATTAACTTTAAATCATTTTTAATACATTTAATTCTAAACATTTTTTATTTTACCCTTTCTAGAACTGTGAAGTAAAGGAACCAGGCAAATTAACTCTTGCTTTAATTCTGTCCTAGTGGAAAAATTGCACAGATTTTGTTTTTATCTTTTAAATATGATACTGATGTTTTTCTACATTTTGTTATTTGTTAAATCCGAATAGCAGTTTTTAATAGAAACTACAGTTTTTAATAGAAGGACAGAGAGCTGAACCATTAGCTGTGAATAGGTTGATGTGGGGGTTTACGATAGGCATATTTTCAAGAGGGGGAGTTGGGTGACTCACTGCAGAAATTGTTTGGGATCCATTGGTTTATTTAATGTTTTCTGTTTTTTTGCTAGTAACTGATTGATATATACTACAAAAATATAATAATATAAGGTGAAGTCTAGAGTTTAGTGTCATATGAGGTCAAAACTTTTTTTTATATAGATTTGTTTATTTTACTGCTCTTGGCTGATTTAGTTTTTTGCCATTGTCAAAGTGGTACATCCCTAATTTTCCTCTTGTTTCACTACATCATGAGCAGGTTTGATTTCGCCCCACTCCTTGTTTCCTTGATATCAGGTTGCGGTCTCAAACAGCTGATGACATGCCATCCCAACTGTGAGGGAAAGCTTAGACTCTGGACCTGGATAATTTCTCATTTTACCTTCCTTTTGTCAGCCTGTGATGCCAGCAGAGCAGCGAGTATGAGCTGTGGGATGTTGTCTTATTATTGATAGCCTTGTAGGAGTCCTCTGTCTCTCTCTCTGTGCTGATGCATTAATATTTAATCTGCAGTCAACTCTTAAAGATGAGGAGATGAGGGGAAAATGAGGGGTTGGGGTATTAATTGGAGCCCATGGAGGCCTTGTTGGTGCCGCCGAGTCCCGTCTGCTCTGGTGTGTGTGTTTGATTGTGGAAATGTGCGCGTGTAGGTCATCTCTGGGCGTCTCACTTCCCTGTGTGTTGAATTGATACCTATCATCCTCTCAAACAGAGCTTTTTTCTAATAGAAACTGCTGTACACTGACATTTAATTTTTTAGCGCTACCAGGACTTTGCTAAAGTAATACAGGAAATCAAAGGAAGTATTTTTTATTTTATTTATTTATTTTTTTTGAATGATGTTGAACTGTAAGCCCGCTACCTTAAATGGGACATGTATCACTGAATCAGGGGCCCACAACTTCAACAATCAGAGGGCCAGATTTTTTTCTAGAAAGACACCTTGGGGGTCTTACAAATGAAATGATATAACAACACAATATTTTCTCTTTAGTCATCACAGTTTTGGAATCCTGTTGTGCGACCCTCTGGGTGCCTGTTGATGATTACTGCACTAAAGTGACTGTCAGGGTTTTGGCATACTTATTTCTGTCTTTGTAGCATCTCACTAGTCTTTAGGTGCAAGTTTCATTAACAAAGTAAATGTTTTTCAACCTGTCAAAATTTGGAAATGGATCTCAAAGGAGCCCCTCCACTCCCCCCAGTGAAATGACCTTCCTTACATGCTTTGCTCCTGTATATGCCAAATCGTATCTTAAATAAAGTTTAACTATAATCAGAGTCCTGCACACATCCAGTACAGACACTTTTCTGCACCAGGGCTGTGGTTTTGTAGTACTTTAACTTCCACCTCCCTTCAGTTAATGCCCATTAAAATTCATGGAGGAGCTGCCGTCTAGTCCCAGTCGCCAAAAGAACGGACCAGAGCTCCACAGGAAAGGGACGACTGATGGGTAATTTAAAAAAAAGAAAAAAAGAAGTGGGTTTTATTGAAATGGCAGGACAAGACGGCACAGACACAAGATGCTTTTAAAGGAGATTGAGATAAAGGCCATTAGGTGACGTCGCCTCACTGTCTGTGTGAAGATGCAGCCACTGCTGGCGCCTGGACTCAGTAAAGCTTGTGTCAAATCAAAGTCAAAGCCAAATGCAGTGCAACAGCCTCCTCAGCAGCTCGTGCCAGTGAAGCAGCAGATGTACAGCTCCAACAGTATTGTTATCTCAGAGGGAGACTGTCTTTTAGAGCTGAGGTGATGTTTTATAAGACTTTTTTACAGTGGAAACTTTAGGTTTACTGCCGTCTGACGAGGCTGAAGTTAAGTTGAAACTCAATCTAGTGTTAGAAATGACCTGGACGACTTTCAAAAGCCAATGGAAAACTTAACAGTGTTTTTAAAGGAAGGTGAAAAAGTCCAGTAGTGTTACAGTTAAAGATGTTAAGAAAGGCAAGCTAAGATAGATTGGACATGAAGAGTCAAAAGAAGATTATTGTGGATGGCAACATGGCTGATGTTGTTGAATGATGTTGAACTGTAGACAAAACAAGGTCTTTAGGTGTCACTACAGCATTGTCCATATAGTGATTTGACTATATGTTTTTGTGGTTCCATGTGGTTCCATGCTGTAGTGGTTATCACAGTTCTTCATGACACAACCCAACCTAGCATTGGGGCCAATGTGGAATCAAACCTGTAACCTTCAGACTGGAGTCTTTCCACTCTTGTCCATCATCATACTGTGTATTAAGCAATGTTTTTGTGGTTCCATGCTGTAGTGGTTATCACGACTGCCTGACACGTCTGCCTTACATGCACAGGGTCCTGGGTTTGAGCCCCAGAGGAACCACCTATCCTTAATAGTGCCTCCTGTTGATTTAAAAGTGATTTAGAAATCAAATGGATTGGTCTGTTTTGGACAGGGGACAATGTTGGTGAAGAATTGCCTTGTTATTACCACTAGGGCTGCTCGTAGAACAGATGAAGGAAGAGTGGTAGGTCAGAAGGTGGCAGGTGGCTTCTTGCCACCCGCCTTGGCGTGACGGTCGCTGTGATATTTGGGAACTGAATAATTTACATTGCAACAACACGTCTCCCCTCGCCACTGCGAAACGTGGCTCCTAGATCCATGTTTCATTAATGTCGTCGCCTCACAAGCACCTCCATAATTTAGGAGGCACCAGAGAAGCTCCAATGTGTTGCCACACAGCTCACTGACACCAGGGGCACAGGGAAGCAGATAAAGAGAGAAAGGCCAGATGTAGAGCAGCTTAGAGATGGGGGTGAGGAGAGGGGATTTGCCAAAGTGCGAGGAAGATCACAGTTCACTGCTTTTATCTGGTTCTTTCTTCACCCTGTCCCAACTGGCAGAACAGTTTGGCCCACTTTACTGTGTCACCACCAGCAGAGCCTGAGCATTGCACCTACCAAGCCCAGAGAGAGCGATTAATTATTAACATTTTGTTGTACCCTCGTATGTGCTAAATACTGCTCATTCTCTCTTTGTGGTAAATATATGTTCTTATTTACGGAAAATTCACCGTTCAGTATGTATCTTGTTGATGATATCGTGGTCTGTTCAAAAAGAAATATCAAAAATGTGTCATTCTTAACAAATGGAAAAAAGGCAAATACTGAGGTTCTCAAAATTAATATATATTTAATACAAATAATCTTTATTCATAAATATTCCCTGCACATCAAACAAATTAACCATTAAACACTTCAATGGTTTTATTTATTATTGACTAGATGAACTAAATTTCAATACATTTCCACCTCAGTAAAGCATCTCTTGATCCCATGACTTTTTAAGAATATAGTTTGAGGGAAACTTTTGTTTTTTTTTTCAAGTGATTTTTGTGAGGGATTTAAACACAGCAGCTAAGTGGAAACAAATAAAAATTGGTACATTTTGTTAGATGACATGACAGTTGCTGTTGTGGGTGTTTTATTACATTTACCAAGGGGACAGGGTTGAGTATGAAAATGTGTGGTCTTAGAGTAACACTGTTAAAACAGTCATTAAACGCTTTGCATTTAGAATGTGTTTACCACTGTGATACCAATTAAAAGGAAACAAAAACTTTGGAATGTTAAATGTAGACTTTGCACTTGGGTGTATTTCCTCTAATTTGTTTTCACATGTTTAAAGTATTTCTTCTCAAGATGAATGTGTGTAATTTTTGTGGTGTTTTCCTGTGATTTAATCAGATGCTGGACAAGCTCCGGGAAAGATGGGCCAACACTGGTCTCTGGGAGAAACTGGAAGAAAAAAAAATAGTCATCACTGAGCCCCGGGGTGGTAGCAAGGGAGACTTTGATGAACTTCTCCAGACTTACTATGATGCCATTAAATACACCAATGAAAGAAGTGAGTTTTTATAACATTGCCCTGCTGTCAGGGCACACCCTTATTAAACAAACTGTCATATTTACAGTATACCATTATACCTCAAAACCTCAGAAACTACCACCTTTAACATTTTTAATTCCTTCATTATGTTGGTGGTTGCAATATTATATATTTTTATTAGAAATTCCAATTATTACATTTTAATGCAAACAAATGTGTTTTTTTGTATTTTGTTATTTTAGATAAATTAATTGTATGAGCATGAACCAAAAGTATATTGGTTTGTTTGAAACAAATTGTCAAATTCACACTACCACCTTTATTGATATTTTTAATTCCTTACTTATTATTTTGGTGGTTGCAATATTATGTATTTTTATTAGAAATTCCAATAATTACATTACATTTTAATTTGTAATAATGCAAACAAATGTGTTTTTTGTATTTTGTTACTTTAGATGACAAATTAATTTTATAAGCATGAACCAAAAGTATATTGGTTTGTATCAAACTGACTGTTTCCTCACCTCTTGTTTCAGATGGTGCTTTGTTGATTGCTGTATGCAGGGGTAAAGTGAGTGAAGGGCTGGACTTTACTGATGACAATGCAAGAGCAGTGGTGACCATTGGAATTCCCTTCCCAAACTTTAAAGACCTGCAGGTGGGTAAAACACAGTGTGTTGAGAATAAAATCACTAAAACAAAGGTTCACAACCAGTTTCAAAATAATAGCATCTGAGTGACAGACGACGGAAGATGATTTTCTGTCTGCTTAGAAAATCTGAGAAGACTACGCCTCACTGTTAGGGTACCAAGTTACCAGAAAGTACCAGAAATAGACCTGTAATAAAACACTATTCTGACAGTCTCTGCCACATTTTGATTTACTGGCGCCTTGTTTCTGACCACACGCATGGACACGCACACACAGAGGTCACATTTGTGAACGTAGACTACTGACAGACTTTTGTCCCTGGAGACTTCCACTAACCACAACCACAAATATCCTTTATACATCAGACCAAATTGTTAAACACTGAACACACTCATTCTCAGATGCCTCAGCTGGATCATGTTCCATTTGCCAAGTGAATAAAAACCCAAATCAGCAAATAAATGACCTGAGGAGTAATAATAGAGTTTTTGTAGAGGAGGTGATAACCTTCATTTAACAGAACACAGATGCCAATAAAACTACTCTTAGCTAATTGGATAGCTAATTGAATTAGTCAGTTGGACAATTTAATTGTTCATCAATTACAACACTTTTATATTTTTCCTTTTGTCAAATTTGAACTTGGAATATGAAAAGGAATTTAACAGTTAGCAAGCCATAGCTTTTGCCAGGACAAAGAATATATTTATGACTCTGATGATGCTGCAAGTCTGAGTCTCTAAGTTTTCATTTTCTTTATTGATTTTGACCCAAGTAAGTGCAACTTAGAGAAAGACAGACAGACAGACAGACACACTCACGCCGCAGTCAAACCAGAGCATTTTGCTGATCAACGAAAAAAAGAAAACAACCCCTTGGCCCCCCTCCATCTTGGTAGATTAGGTTGACCTTTATATTTGAACCTCCTCTGCTGCCACCACCTCCCTCCTCCTGTCCTCCTCCACATTCTGACACACACTGTGAAGCTTTGATTAACCTGTTCTGTCAGTGTCTATGTATCCAAACTGTAAGCTTTCGTTAAAATATTCAACAAAACTCATGTAAAAGGCAGGTCTAGGTGGATATTTAAATTAATTACATTACTTTATAGTACATGTTGAGGGAAAAGTACAAAACATTAGCAGTCAAACATTACAGAGGAGCTAAAAAAGTCTTTTATGAGCACTTTTTCTTTTTCTTGAATGTCCTAATCTGGGGATTTTCCTGCTCCCTCGGTTCTCCTTCTTTCTAGACCAGGAGCGCTCTTAGCTCCACTTAGCTTGTCTGTCAATGACAGAAGCGGTGTTGACCTCAGAGAAGCCCCTGGGGACGTGAGGGTCTTTGAGCTGTAACCCTATTTCACCGCTGTGTGAACGGGGGACACTGATACTGACTGTCAAGGCCATGCACCCAGTCTTTGTAGTGTATAAAGTAGCACAGATCAGATGCTGCTGCCGCTGTTGATGCTGTCTTTCAAAGAAAGAGCAATTACATGTAAAAATGGCTTTCCCTGATCAATTTATATTAAATAATTGCACAAAATTTTTGGGAGCCCAGTAACACTAACACTAATTGGCACATTGGCACAGTTATTTTTTGTTTTTGTTCCTCTTTGGAACCCATTTTAACAGGCACATTTGTTGTTACATACTGTAGGAGTAGAGTTTGAATCACTACTCCCTAGTCAGCAGAAAAAAAA